CAGCTACACCAAATATGTTGAGTCACTGCAAACACCGTTTTTCAAATTCTGCCTCGAGCTTGGGCGAACAAGAGTGACGCGTTAAATTAAGAAGCAACGTTTTGAACTGTTAAGGCAAACATTTCCCTCTAAAGAACTGAAAGGTGGAATTAAAATTACCGAGATTGATTGCACTTGCAACGTTTCATTTGGAGCAGCAAACAATCTGATGAAAGAGGCTCCATCATTAACAGAGACTGGGCTTTGCAACTCATGTCAATTTTCAAGAACAACAACTTCGCCGGTGCTTGACTTCCCGCTGAAGAAAACAAATCTGGGGGGCTTCAGCAAATTTGCAGAGGATGTATATTGCCATTTCCAGCCGTGCACTCTTAAATGTAGAAATAAAGATTGCAAATTTGCTGTTGTTACCACCAGAACTCCGGGGTCTCATCTACTCCTGAACGTGGATGATTTCTGCGAATACGGAATAGCCAGGAAGTGGAAACGCAAAACAACATGTTCCCTTGGAGATATTCCGAAACAACTAATCGTTCACTGCATCAGGTAAAAATAATAATTATTTCATGATGAGGTTAATGAATAACTCTTGATAATACTAGCGCAGGATTAGCCCTTGTGGGCTACTTAAAGTGGTAAAAAAAAAAAAAAAAAAAAAAAAAAAAAAACCGGTTTTAAAAATATTTGTCAAAGGCCAATTGCATGCGTAAGGGATTTGCAATTTGAGTATTTTTTTTTTTGCGTTAAATATCGCGAGAAACACGATGCTGCCACTAGTTTTCTATGAAATTGATTCAAAATCACAAAAAGAGCTCTAAAAGTTGAGGCCATAATGGGCATGTTCAACGCTGCCTTAAAAGTCCATTTCTATATCAAGACCATCTCTCTACGTGAAGATAGGGAGCAAATGTATTAGCTAGGAAGTTCCGTTTCATATCACCAGCGGCTCCCAACCAAGGAGGTCTGTGGGAAGCGTGCGTCAAAAGTATGAAATCCCAACTGAAACGCACGTTGGAAAACAACGTTCTCTACTTGACGCAGTTTGAAACATTGGTCCTTACTAAAGGCTCTCATGAATAGCAGGGCTCTGTCCCCGCTGTCTAGGGACCCAAAGGACCTTAGGGCCCTAACACCGGCGTACTTTCTGATAAGCGGACCAATCACGGGCCCTCCTGAACCTGACTGGACAGGCCAGCGCACTACCGCTCTCAAACGTTGGCAGCAGGTGCAAGAATTCACAGAGCACGTATGGTCCAGATGGCACCTAGAGTACCTGCAAACACTCCAACGCCGCCTGAAATGGAACGATAGCGACAGACCAAATTGGCGAAGGGCAACTCAGCTCTGCTACACAACCCCTCAGCCCCTCCCTTCCCATGGAAGTATTGTCGGGTGCTGATAACTTACCCCAGCAAGGACGGGGTCGTGAGGAACGTAAAGGTTAAGACACCCACAACGGAACTCGTCTGTCCGGTGTCAAAGCTTTATCCCCTTCCAAACTCCAACTATTAATTTTGTCTTCATTTCCTGTACGATGGAGCCGGCTGATGTGCTTCAATGCTCGGTGGAGGACGATACCAATCTCAATGACCTGACTCAAGAACCTCATCTTGCTTCAAGGGCTCCCTCTCAAATCAAAACCAACGGCCTCCGTTCTGAAGCTCCTTCCCGAGTCAGGACCCAGCCTAGGCTGATAAAGCTAATCCGAGCGCTTCCCCTGAGGCAAGAACACGCTCTTCCGACATTGCCAAAAGACCTAGCAGGGCCGTGCCACAAGGTTCGGGTAAACACCTGGAGAGCAAAGCCCAGGAGACCGCTTCCACCTCCACCGTTCCCGCCGTCAGCAAAGAACTTGCCAACCAAGCCTCTATCGCCCAGACAGGACTGGTCCTTGGGCTTCAAAATCCCGAAAGTGAGTGCTCCTCCAAAACAGTCAACGCTCCCTGACCTCAATGTGCAAAACTCGGGGGCTTGAACACCCCCCAGGCTGCCAACACCACCTCCTGACGACGCCGAATTCAGCCCTCCTTCCTCATCCGAGCAAGACATCCCTCACTTCGCACACCCTCCCACTCACTGAAGGATCTCTGGCCACCTGGAGAAAGCACTTTCAAAGGGTTGGGACCTCCAGAGCCTGATGGGAAAAATCTCCCAGTGGAAGTGGAACAAGCTCATCAGAGCCATCAAATGGCGACAGGAAAAGGAGGTTAAAAAGGCCAGTCGATCCGGTTTCCAAAGACATTAGTTTTTTTTTATATAGTTTTAATAAATTCTGGTGCTTGTACGATGCTCATTTTCTTTTTAGCCAGAATTGGGGTCATTATAAATCACGAGAAAATAAGGTCTCTACTTATTATCTATGAGACTACAAGGTAGCTTCAGTTTCTTTCCCTTTTAAAAGCCACTAATAATTGAATGTCTTGATATCATGTTTATGAGAGTATGTTTCCACCGCATATTATGCTATATCTGTTATTTTTTCTGATAATATTCCCAAATTTTTCTGTCCATTCTTTTTCTTATATATGTATTGTGAACTATTTGACCTTGGCTTCTAAACGTTTATAAGGTTTTGTGTATTTTAGTACACTGGAAACACTCAGTACTGACCGTAGGCGAGATGGTGGAGTTGTATAATACCGTATTATGCAACTCCACTGGGACCTAGGACCCATACGACATTTAGAATACTTGCGCATTTGATGCGGTCAAATCAGCGATCGTTGTAGCCATGATCGAACATCCCAGCTACACCAAATATGTTGAGTCACTGCAAACACCGTTTTTCAAAATCTGCCTCGAGCTTGGGCGAACAGGAGTGACGCGTTAAATTAAGAAGCAACGTTTTGAACTGTTAAGGCAAACATTTCCCTCTAAAGAACTCAAAGGTGGAATGAAAATTACCAAGATTGATTGCACTTGCAACGTTTCATTTGGAGCAGCAAACAAACTGATGAAAGCGGCTCCATCATTGACAGAGACTGGGACTTGCGACTCATGTCAATTTTCAAGAACAACAACTTCGCCGGTGCTTGACTTCCCGCTGAAGAAAACAAATCCGGGGGGCTTCAGCAAATTTGCAGAGGATGTCTATTGCCATTTCCAGCCGTGCACTCTTAAATGTAGAAATAAAGATTGCAAATTTGCTGTTGTTACCACCAGAACTCCGGGGTCTCATCTACTCCTGAACGTGGATGATTTCTGCGAATACGGAATAGCCAGCAAGTGGAAACGCAAAACAACATGTTCCCTTGGAGATATTCCGAAACAACTAATCGTTCACTGCATCAGGTAAAAATAATAATTATTTCATGATGAGATTAATGAATAACTCTTGATAATACTAGCGCAGGATTAGCCCTTGTGGGCTACTTGAAGTGGTAAAAAAAAAAAAAAAAAAAAAAAAAAAAAAAAATACGGATTGCAAAATATTTGTCAAAGGTCAATTGCATGCGTAAGGGATTTGCAATTTGAGTACTTTTTTTTGCGAAAAATATCGCGAGAAACACGATGCTGCCACTAGTTTTCTATGAAATTAATTCAAAATCACAAAAAGAGCTCTGAAAGTTGAGGCCGTAATGGGCATGTTCAACACTGCCTTAAAAGTCCATCTTAATACAGGCTCTTAATAGAGGTTGGTCCTTAATAGAGGCTCTCATGAATAGCAGGCCTCTGACCCCGCTGTCCAGCGACCCAAATGACCTAGGTGCCCTATCACAGGTGCTACACACCCTGAAACTGACTGGACAGGCCAGCGCACTACCGCTCTCAAACGTTGGCAGCAGGTGCAAGAATTCACAGAGCACATATGGTCCAGATGGCACCTAGAGTACCTGCAAACACTCCAACGCCGCCTGAAATGGAATGATAGCGACAGACCAAATTGGCGAAGGGCGACTCAGCTCTGCTACACGAGCCCTCAGCCCCTCCCTTCCAATGGAAGTGTTGTCGGGTGCTGGAAACTTACCCCAGCAAGGATGGGGTTGTGAGGAACGTAAAGGTTAAGACACCCACAACGGAACTCGTCCGTCCGGTGTCAAAGCTTTATACCCTTCCAAACTCCAACTATTAATTTTGTCTTTATTTCCTATACAATGGAGCCGACTGATGTACTTAAATGCTCGGTGGAGGACGATACAAATCTCAATGACCTGACTCAAGAACCTCATCTTGCTTCAAGGGCTCCCTCTCAAATCAAAATCAACGGCCTCGCTTTTGAAGCTCCTTCCCGAGTCAGGACGCAGCCTAGGCTGGTAAAGGTAATCCAAGCGCTTCCCCTGAGGCAGCAACATACTCTTCCGACATTGCCGAAAGACCTAGTAGGGCCGAGCCAGACAGTCCGGATGAACACCTGGAGAGCTAAGCCCAAGAGATCGCTTCCACCTCCACCGGCCCCTCCGTCAGCAAAGAACCTACCAATCAAACCTCCAATGCCCAGACAAGACTGGCCCTTGGGCGTCAAAATCCCGAAAATGAGTGCACCTCCAAAACAGTAAACGCTCCCTGACCTCAATGTGCAAAACTCGGGGGCTTGAACACCCCCCAGGCTACCAACACCACCTCCTGACGATGCCGAATTCTACTCTCCTTCCTCATCCGAGCAAGAGATCCCTCACTTCGCACACCCTCCCACTCACTGAAGGATCTCTGGCCACCTGGAGAAAGCACTTTCAAAGGGTTGGGACCTCCAGAGCCTGATGGGAAAAATCTCCCAGTGGAAGCGGAACAAGCTAATCAGAGACATCAAATGGCGACAGGAAAAGGAGGTTAAAAAGGCTAGTCGCTCCGATTTCCAAAGACAGTTCTTAATTTGTTGTAAACTAATTTAATTCTGATGCTTGTAACGATGATCATTTTCAAAGTTGCCAAAGCTACCTAATTGTGTTCATAATAAAACTACTTCTTTACTTGTTCAAACTATACTTATAATTTCATTAGGTTGATATCGCTCTCGTCAGTTTCGCGACGCGTCGCTGGTGATAATAATGTTTTAACTTCCGTTTCGTTGTAATTTTAGTTCGTTTTTCGTTTTTAATCATCTGATGATGGCTGTGAAAGCCGAAATGGCCATTGTGTTTTAGTTTAAGGTTTGACAACCAAAATCTCAAATCGGGCAAAAAAGAAAAAGCCCAACTGAATAAAACAGTGGAGAATATCATGCCACTCTTACCGATCAGAAATAAACTTGATGTAGTTGAAGGTATGTATGCTACAGCGTTAAAAACATCAGGTAAATTCAATACCATAAAAGAACAGCTCACTTTTCATGAAAAGCTGAGCCATACAATTCTAGAGGGAAACACCAACGGAACGAAAAGAATTCAGGAATTGGTAAAAGATGCAGATTTTACAGCAGAGTCATTTTGCGAGTGCTGGGCATTATTCTTCTGGTGCGGGTCTGACATCATACATAAGACAACGAAATTAGATACATACACTGAGGAAAGTCTTACATCCGCTTTAAACAAGACTCGAACCATCCAGAGATACAGAGATCAGTCAGTGGAGTGGCGCTTTTGTTAATATAGATTACATTTTCAAATACGAATCCCATAAAACTTAATTTATTTATCAGTATGAATTTGCATCACTCAAGGAACAGTCGGAAGAAAAAAAATTGACACAATCTCTCATGAAACGGCTTGCCGCCAAAGAAAAAGAATTTTACGGAGCTCTTGCCGCCAAAGAAATAGATATTAGCGAAGCAAATAAGACGATCGTAAGTCAAAATTTTTACGCATTTCAGCAGATTATTTTCAGTAAATAATATTACTCGTATAAAGTTTATGAGGCGTCGCCTCTAGCCAGAAATACCTAACTGTTTTAATGATATTTTATTCCATTTGTGTATTTCTATTCAACTAATTTTTAGGAAAGTATTCATTCAGTTTTTGAGTCTATGGCATGTAAATTACGAAAAATAACATACAATAATGTAGAAGATTTTTCTTGGAGCTTCCCTCCCATATTTGCCGAAGCGATCACAGGGATGTACATTTGGACATTTTGCATTCACGACCAGTTTCCGTTTTCTCATGCAATTGGAGCTATAATTGTCAGGACCTACAAATAAAAAATGAAATTAAGTTGAGTCAAACAAAGAACAGATATGAGGAAAAAAAAGAAAGAAAGAAAAGAACTTTAAATTTATGTACATGACTGCAACAACAATAATTTGTAGTCCGCAATTTCAATTGAGAATATTATGGCATAGAGATTGATTGATTGCTGTTATTGACCCAACCAAAGCAATTCCTTTCAACTAAAATATTTTTAATATTTGAAAGTAGGGAGCCAAATAATAAGTCACTAAGCAAGATACTGTTTAGAACACTGCATCATAAATTATCTCTGTTAAGTCTTCCATAGATTTGAATTCGCACAGTAGCAAGTTCAGAAATCAACTCCAAATCAAGAACTTTACGAGCTTGCTTGAAATCGATGAGATGGAACAGAACTCATACAAATGATATAATTTGCGTTTTTCCTACTTGTTTGATGTGAATTAGGTATAAATAAATACATCACATATAAATTTTGATTTTTGAATTTCTCGATACCAGCATTACTCCCTACTCAAAATTTTGAGGAGAAAATAAGAGAATTCAAATAATATTGTTCAAGCTGAAATTGTGTAGTTGTGGAGGACGAGCTTCCATAAAATAGTTCTGCAAGGAGGTGGAATAATGAAAAGTTCTATTGTAATCTTACCTGACATTTTGTGTTAAATTGACACCGACACTCGTTTGCTACCACATTGGATTTGAAGAAGGTATCGGCTAAAACTGATCCTTTCTTGGAGTTGACAAGAAGTCTATCCTCTCCAATATTGAGCGAGATTTCAGTGCTGTCAACCTGAGAGCAATTTACACCATCATTAGAACAAAAACGTATTTTTCTCTGGCACAGAAAACAGGAGGAGCACAATTTATACTAGTCAACACGTATTACTAGTTCCAAGGCTTGGATAACATGTTGCATGATGGTTTCAAGAAACAGTGGAAGTACTAATTGAGAACCGATAAAGTCCTCAATTACTGTTTTGCATTTTCATGATACACTAACAAATTTCACTTACTTATGTATTTAGCTTAAATACAACTGCTAAATACAGAGAAGTAATTGAAAGTTTATCATTAAAATGCATACAGCAGCTGGGGACTGTTTCGGTCCTCAATTATTACAGTGTTCAAAAACAGTGAGCATATTTGCCCACACACAATTTCAGGCCTTGGTCTTGGACCAATGAAAATTTAATTACTGTAGAACAAATTGATCGGTACCATCAACAGACCTGAGGTATTTTTACCATAATGCTTGGACTTAATTTAGACGTAGACCTCAAAATTATTCTAAAAACCAATTTAATCAAAATGAGTCCGATATATTATAAAACCTGTGTCCTAGTCTCTCAATGACAGTGGATTTCACCAAAGAAATTAGCACCTAGCTGAATTTCACATGAAAAATCAAAACCAACGATTTTGGGAAAATGACAGTGGAAACAGAGTAGTCTTACTTGGAATTTTTCATGTGAACTCATTGCTCTTCAAACCTGTTGCTCCCAAGTGAAAATTGGACCGCGTTTAGGAGAAAGGAACCGAGCCACGTCAGCTGTTGCCAAATTTAACTGAGTAATTTAATTTTTTACAAGAGAACTTGTGTGCAGATTCCTTTAAAATTTGTATGGAATTTGCTTTGTACCTACAGTGCAGAAAATTCACTGAAATTTGCACAAAAATCAGCTAAACAGTTTTCATGTAAAAAATTAAATTGCCCGATTAAATGTGGCAATAGCTGACGAGGCTTGGTTTCTTTCTGCTTAACGTGGTCCAATTGTTCCACAATCACATTGATTCCTTCAGGATCTATCATTCTTCAGCACATTTATTGCACTTAAAATAAAGTAAGTTTAATTTCCACAGTAAAATATATTTTCAGCGATTTTAAAGTAGTCACAGAAGTTATTTAGAACTTAAAAATTGTTAGGACCAAAAATTATTCACTTGACAAGTATTCTCCGAGTTTTATTGGTAACTTGATTTACTAACTATTGTTTTCATGCTCATAAGATTTGCTAAATTAATTCCCTTTGAATGATTTAACAAGGAAGACACAATTACATGAAAATAAATAATATGTCAGTTTTTCTGGTGCCTAACTATTTAACTTTGTTCTTTCTTCCGATTTGTAAACATTAAAAAAAAAAGAAAAGAAAAAAAAAAAAAAAAAAAAAAAAAAAAAAAAAAAAAACCACTAGTTATTAAGTAATATGGACACCTTCATTTTTGTTTTTTAACTTACAATTTTAGGAAAATAAGCTTCCACGATGTAATATTTTTTGCCTTCCACTTCTAGTTCCAATATTCTAAAATTTGTTCGGGATTCCTTTTGGGGAATAGGTTGGTCTATGCTTCGCATCAAGTTGAAACCTTCGGTTGACTGAGAGGGTGAGATTTCTCCGCCAGACCTCTTCTTCTCCACAGAGGTAGTTGGAGGGATTTCTTCTATGAGACATTTCTGTTTTTTCTCCTGTTTTCCTGTCTGGGTCTGCCTTATTCTGTGGTACTGTAAATTTCCGAGGAACTTCCTGTTTTGTAAAATAGTGTAGTCTGAAAACGAAAATGAAATAAAATTAAATTCTAAATACTCTAAGCACAGCAAAAATATTTTTCAAGGAAATAATAAGCGCATTCCGTGTTTTTATGGAGCAATATTTTTTAAGAAAGGTGGTAAGGTCATGCCAGCAAGCTACAGAGGCATCATGCAGCTAAACGTACATTTAAAAAAATTTTACGGCTAGCCTTGAGAATATTGTTGAGCCTTGCTTATCAGATGCTGTTTAAAAAACTCTCTGATGCAGCTATGCAAAAAAGATAGAGTTTTTGGGCGATTGAATTCTTCATCCCAAATTGGGAACAGTAAAATTTTCAACTCTAAATAAACTGTTTAAAAGGGCATTGCAATAATGCAGCACTAGCAATGCTTTACCGTCTAATACCGAGAATAATTTTCCGCAGAAATTTCGCATTTATTTCCATGTCTGCCTTACACTCAAAAATAAGATTGGTTCAATTTCTTTTTAGGATTAATAGGAGCACAGAAAATACTAAAGCTCGCAAGCTCTTTTTCTTGAAAGGCAAGGAAATCCAGGAGTATATGAAGAAATTATTTGATAAAAGCTTTTAATTATTTATGATTTTTCTTTAAAAACAAAAATGGAAAAAAAAATCAGAAAAGGAAGCTGATTTTTAGAATTCAATTTGATTATGTTTTCTAAGCTTAAGGTCATCATCTTCAGCACACAAGAAAGATATTCTCCGACACAAATTTTGCTTTACACTCATTCATAAATATAATTCTACAGAATGGTAAAATAAAATTATTCTCACCATTGTTTAGTTCAATATTGAACTTGTTTTCTACACCTTCTATCGCGATCATCAAAAACAAAAAATTAAAGGACTTGCTGTCCTGAATTTTTTTAAAAAATTTTGAATTGATAGCTATGTCATATGCAGTAGCAGAGCCTCCAGCTGAAAAAAAAAAATGTTACAGAAGAGATTAAGGTATGACATTTTTTTACACTTGTGGATAGACTTAAGATTTCGTTCAATGGTTCAATGAATTTTAAACAAGAAACATTTCTGAACGATTCACACTAAATATAATGAGTATTAACTGGCATCTTTCACTTAGGCAGATTTAACTAGAATGTAAATTTCTCTGCAATTATGTATCAATACCACACTGTTGATCTGGTAGTGTTCACTTATTTTTGCAAATGTTGCACATGAAATTACATGTGCCACAGCCACCAAGGGAGGCTATATATGCATGTATCTATGTACATTAAAAAAGTCTGATTCTATGAACAACTAAGACATACGACCACTATGTGTTCATTTTTAAGGGGGCTAGTGGTATGCAAAGATGCTAAATAGTAAGTTTTCCTGATTCTTAGCTTCTAATTTTTGATCAGCTTCAAAAGATTCCTTTGGGAAGAAAATGTGAAATTATTACTTAGATATTGATGATAAAAAATGTCTGTTCCAATAAAACTGAGCGAACTTTTCCAATTCATAAGTATGACAGTTTGAAAATTTTCATAAGACTTGTAGGAAAATACCTATACATATTTTTTGAGTACTTCTTAGAATTTTAGTTCCAATTTTTCAATCGAAACTAATTTAATTCACACATATACACACTGTCAAGATAAAAAAATTGCTATAAGTCAACATTTTTGTAGAAATGTTTCAACACAATCAAATCTGAAAAAATTCGTGAGAGCAATAGCTATTGTCGACCAAGTAACTGTATAACTAAGTATAACTGTGTAACTAAAATAATTGCTTGGTTGCAAATTTATATTAATATGCCATTCTACCAAGGAAAACAACTTACATTAGATTTTAATATCATTTCTTTAAATATTTTATGAACTTTTTCCGGAGCACAGCAAGTAAATGAAGAAGTTCCGCTGGATTTCTTGTAAAAAATGAAGACTCAACTTGGGAGAAATTTGAAATTTTGATAATTTAGTCAGTATACCTGATTGTTGTGCTTTAACATCAATTGGTTACTGACACAATCTAATTAATTACTATTTTAAAGGACTGCAAATGAATACAATTAGAGAGGCAAAACTTGTGAGAAGTAACTTACATTTGTCCACCTCCTCATGTGGGTCCCCTATACTCATGGGGATTTTAAAGTCTGGAATCTCTTCCGATTGAATGATTTCTGCCAGTTCATCTTCAGAGATGTCTCTTGGCGCAGGAAGTTCTTCCGTGTGGCAGACATTGATAAAAACTTTTCGATTGTCACGTACTCTGAATTTGACACAAAAACCTATGAAGAAAAATATGAGTAGTGAATTAAATGACTTCTTGGAAAGTTCAAGCAAATAGGTACTGCAGACGAATCAGCATAAACAGGACTACTCACTTTTACATGGCACTGGATGAGCTAGGATTGATTTGGCACAGGTTTCATTTTCCAGTATGTTTTCCTGGAATTGACGTTTGAGGGGAATGACAGATTTACTTACCCTATTTAATTGCATAAACCTGATGAGATGGAACCACATATGAGGATACCCTGGTGAAAGCCCACATTTTCTAGCACACGGTAAAATTTTACTTGAACCAGGAGATTCAGTGACCATTATTTACTACTTGATATGATATTCTTCACAACCTCTTGAGAACACCATTTTGTAAATAAAATTTACAGTTCGCCAATGAAAGGAAAGAGAACTTTAGGGTGAGTTTTTCGATATTTTAGCTTGTGTTTTCATACCAAGGTATAGTAATACCACTGTGTCAGATCTACCGATGAGCCTTTCATTCAGCAGTTGACATTGTGCTTTGCTCAGCACTGTTATCCTTTAGGTGAATTCTGATTGTACTTTCAACTGTTGTATCATTCAAATGCAGGAGTGTGGCATTGTGGTATCAGCTTCATCTCCCCAGCGGCACTTTTCTAGTGTCTTTCTTGTGGGAAGGTTAACTATCTTTTTGGGCCCTAAGCACTCTATGTATTGAGATGTCCATACCCTCCAGTATCTAGGTACTCTAAGGCTAAGTAATGAGAGCTGCTTGATCAAAAATCTGAAGTGGCAACAGTAATAATCATTATAATGATTCAAGTACTTATTGGTACTGATCAATTGGACTGAGTTAAGCAGAAAGGAACCAACCCACATTTTGGAAAAAATTGAGTTATGAGTGGTTTTGAACTCAACCACTGCTCTACTATCTATTGCCAAAAATTCAAACTTTTTTTGGAGCAAATTTTGCAGAAATTGAACTTGAGGTTTATCTTTTACATTGAGTCTTGTGCAGGAGCCAAACTTTAAACCTCTTTTTTTCGGTTCGATCCCGATGTGGCTTGGTTCCTTTCTGTTTAACTCCGTCCAATTTTTCTTCAGCCTTGTTTTCCTTGATGTACATGGAAAGTTCATTTCTTTGAGTTTATTGTCCTCATTGGACATAAATAATATCATGTCATGTGTGGAATTAGTGACAAAATTTGGCCAGCATTGAATTCTTTCATTTTGCATCAATCAGACATCACTTTTCTGCCGGGTTACAGGACAGAGCTGTAAGTGTAGTCTGGGATGAGTCTTGAGACTCATACTGCTGTGCTAAGGAAGAACACCGTACGAGCCATCAAACTTTGCCTTTCCTTTGGAAAATCTTGAATTTTTAGAAATTTTTCTGAATATCTTTTGGCAATTTTGGAATGCTCATATGGCATAATCATTTGCCATGGCAGCATAAGTTCATGTGCTAGCTAACTATGGCCTATACAGAAATGCACTTAGGGCTCTCTTATCATGGCAGTTTTGTTTCTGAATACGTGAAAAGCTTAGATTTTTGTCAGACCATGTAGCTTCCATACTGCAACTGGTTCTTCAACTCTAACCCAGCTTCCTATATGTTAAGAAAATGATCCTCCCCACTTGTTTAATTAATGCTCAAGTTCAATGTGACAATCACCTGGACCAGTCACAAGGTGAAGATCTCATGAAAAGGTACCTGGATTTGGTTTGACTAGTTTGAATGGTGAACTTTCTTGATTCGAGAAAAGATTCAGTGGGTCATCAGGCACATTTAGTAGGTCTTCCTGGAATTTGAAAAAGAACAAATGTTTAGGGTACTTCCAGTTTGTTGCAAATGGGTGATTTGGTTTTTCTGGGATGCATCATTCATGAAACTGTATTACTGATTAACCTTTGTCACAGAAAAAGTGAAATATGTATTGATTGCAATTTCAATAAAAACAACCCTTTAGAAGGAATTCATGAAAATGTCCGAGGCACTACTTTCGATGATAAAACTAAAATAGCATCTAAATCTAAATTCTGGGCAAAGATTGCTGAAAACCAACTTGGTTCAACAGTGATGTTGCAGTTGATATCTGATTTTAACAATGAACACAATGTTCATGCCTCATCTCTACTTAAAAACTTTTGAAAAATTACACAGATTTTCTGGAAAGTTACCGGTAATTTTTCCAAATGATTTCATATGAAAGCACAGAAAATTCCGATACCACATTTTCATTCAATCTGTTTTCTTTTCCATTTTCCACTTAGAGAAATTAAGCATCGTCAGAGTCTCTGAATCATTTCAACAAGGGTGCAGAAAGTTCTTCGTTTTCAAATTTTTTGAGGTTGCATTCACATGAAGCTAGCATGCTACACTGTTTCCTTCGCATGCAGAGTGCGCTTCACCATTCCATCAGCAGAAAAGTGCATGTTCCACTATTTTCTTTGCATAAAAAGCGCGTACTTATATATTTTCTTTACTTCGGAGAGCGCACTATTCAAATGCCATCTCAAAAAGTTATGCGCTTCGCTGGTTCAAGCTTCCTGCCTTCACATTTGTTCCAAGATTGGCAGATCAAGCACTCTCTAAACCCCTGCAGTAATGCGTTGTAGCAGACGCGCTGCATTATACCTATTGGACACTAGCCCAGCCTACACAGGTCAGTCATTCCCAAGGACGAGTTTAAGAACTCTACTGCGCAATGATGTAGTATTGGGTGCCTGCAATGTATTTCTTATGGGAGCACCTGATGTGCCGTAGCATTGGGTGCTACCAAGTTATGGCCGGGCAGGGGAGTGGATTTCAAAAAGATGCGCAATGACTAACCTGTGTAGATTGGTCTTGATGAGACATTGGAAACCATGCTTTAATAGCTAATGCACTGAGGTACTTACATTTAACATGAGATTTCTTTCCAAGATTGACGAGTCTATCTCCAAGAGTTGTTTCGAACTCATTTTAGAGAAAGTGAAATGAAGTGACTAACAAGATTAAAACGATACGTGATGGTGAGAAAGGAGATAGCTGCAGCGAGGATACACAAAGTCCGAGGTCCGAGGATTGATTCAAATTAAATAATTAAATGTGCTTTACTCAAGTACTGGTGTTGTGTTACTCAGAGACAATGTGTCATAGAGAAAAAAAAGGAGGTGTTTGCATTTCGGGCATCTTGGAATTTTTCATAGAGTATCTATAGCTTTGATGACGTCATTGGGTACAGCGACGTTTTTATCCTGTCGATTTTCTTGGAAATGGTGTAATTTAAGGGAAAAAGTCATTCTATAAAAAGTGCTTGAAATTAAATAAAGAGTTGATTTAAGTAAAAAAATCGGACATTATGGTCCGTTTTTACAGCGTCAACATAACCCTCAACGAGCGTCTTGTTTACATTGATGACGTAGGTGGGTACAAATCCTCAAGATGCAAACACCTCCTTTTTTTTCTCTATGACAATAGCTACGTTTATGCGAGGCTCGAAACCGGGGTTTCACGAAACCCGAGTTTGTAATGCAAGTTTCCTCCGTCGGGTTTATGCGGGCGCTGTAACCCGACTTTCGCGGGAAATCAAACTTTCCGATTTTGGCGCTGTTTATGCGCATATTTTCGATTGAACTTGAATTTCATGTTGGCGCCATTTTCCCAAGCTATACTTCATTTTTCCACTATGAATTGATTCAATAAATTATTAGGTATTACTCTTTTATCCTGTGTATGTTCAATTTTTCCACAATATATAAGCGGAGGCTTCATCTTCACTAGAAAAGCCTTTACTGACTTTCTGAGCAACAGTTGGAAAAATGACAGTAGATGTTTAATCATTTTACGTTCATCTTTAAAATTGAATGAATACCTAATCTCAACAACCCTCCAAATCATGCTCGAGCTTATATTCTGAGTTCAGAAAAGTTGCCATAGGTAATTTTAGTGATGTTAAAAATAATTGTGGCAGGCGCAGAAATTCATCATATTGTTTATTGAGCTTCTAATGATCTTACAATAGGTAGATATAGGCATTGAAAGTGTAGGAGTGCTAATCCAGTAAAGCACCGCACCTTCACTCCATGCTGTTGTAAAGATTGTATGTCTGCCATTATTGTAGTGAAACAAATAAAGAATTGGGATATACTTATGGGAATTCCTCCTTCAAGATATGATCAAAATAAGCAGATATTGATAGGTCAACAATGTATCGCTGAAGCAGAAGCGTCTAAATCCTCTTGAGGCAACGGACGGTGACAATCTCAACAAACTGGTGACGCTTCACAAATTTTGAATTTCCACATTCCCAGAGACACGCGCTGAAATCCTGTTTCTCACCCCTCTTTCCGACTGCTCTCCGAGTCCATGAGCAAGACAGGAAGAAAATAGGCAAGCTACCTACCACTGTTTGCCTACCTATGTGTGTTTTTCTTAAACTTGATTTTCAAAGGTGACTCATGTAAAGAGCAACTGAAAAACAAGATTTCAGAACCTGCCATTGCATTTCACTAACCTAAGACACCAACCCAACCTTACCATTGATATTCTTTCGCTTACACTGTATATTATTCTCCCACTGAGATTCGATATGAACTCAATTCAAAAATCCTTCTGAATTTAATTATTCAGGTAGATTGGAATCTGGAGCTCTCAGTCTATCTGTAACATCTATCTGTATTTACTAACATTCACTGCTGTCACAAGATATTTTTGCACAGGCAGAGCCACTTTCCACAGTTGATGCATCTCTAACGCCAAAGCTCAATTATGACAAGTGGTTCAACGACCAAAAATTGTTACACGCCTCAATAATAACCTTATTCTTATCTCAAATTGAAAATCTTGGATCACAGAGCACTCACCGAAGAATCTCCTTCCTTCTGCATCAGTATGAGAAGAGTGACGATACTTTGGAGCAATAACTTTGAACTAGTTTCAATAAATGATGGCCTCAGAATTTGAGTCATCATTTACAAGAGATTGGATCAAAGAAATAAGTCAGCAGGTCACGGTTGTGGCTGGTCTCACACTTCCAGTAGGACAACCAGGAAATAGATACACGGATAACACACAAATTCAAGAGCTATGCAGCTCTGATTGGATCAGATTTTAGATTTAATCGGTAGATTGAAATGAAAAAATTCGGTGCACTACTTAAAGGGAAGCAGGGTGCCTTATCTTGAAATCCTAGGCAAATCGTGCGGATGCAGTAAAAAAGTTCTCCGCAGATGATGAACTGGTGGGTAAGGCTATTACTCGATTGTAGCCTGTAAAGCTCTTTGCTTGCTTTGCTTCTGTAGTCATAAAATGTTGATTAGAGTTGCAAGAATAATCTGAAAAAGCAGTAATAAGCCTGGATTCCATCTGACACTAAACACCTTCACTAGAAAATAACGTCCTACGTTTAGCTAAATAAGGATAAGTAAGCCACATATAACTGAAGGAATCACGTAAAAGTGCTTAAGCAACAATTATAGTAAAATTATGATTTTAAAAATTTTGAATAATGGCAAAATTAAAGCTAAATCGTGGGATAAGCACCAGTTGTTTACGAACGGTATGATAATAAATCCGCCATATTGCCGATCGCGCACCTGAAAATCACATTTGAAGTCGAATTTCAACTAATTTCAACCTCCGGTTCGTTTATGCGGAGTGCGAAAACCTAGTCTTTAGTGTAAAATAAGGTTTCAAACACAAATTTCGGAAACCTACATTTCGTTAGTTCCGTATCGTTTATGCCGTGATTTGAACCTTGGTTTCAAACTCAGGTTTCGATTGAAGTTAGGTTAAGAGGCTCGCATAAACATAGCTAATGTGTTACTTGAGAAACCGCATGTTGTTTACAAGCCTAATCCACTGTTACCAAATTGACTCAAATTATATTATTTTATTCAAATAGTTCCAAATGCGGCCACTAGCGGCTCATTTGAATCAACGATTGGATTTCGGACGAAATACTGGAAAATTACTGTGATTAATTGAAATAAATTATACAATAATCGTTCTAAGCTACAATTGAAGATTAATGACCATTTCTAGACATAAAACAAACTCACTTCAATTCTATCGTTTCAGCAAGGTTTCAGCGTGACCTGAGCGTGACAGTCGCCAAATGAGCGACGTGTTCTTTGAATTATTGTTGACGTGGGAAAATTGATTATTATTCCCCAGCAGAGGTTAGGTTTTTCCCTGTTTTCCGACTTTGGATGGAAGTCGGTGAAATTTTGGTATTTTCTATTAAAAACTTAGTATAAGTGATATTCTCTCTGAAAAATCTGTCTCCGCACGAGTTCATTAGCTGAACCAGATGTGTTTGAACCGTGAATCGCATTATTAGTCAAATTAAATATGCATTCTTTCCTAAGCCGGGGTAACGCGATAATCGCGTACTCATTGAGTGTTTTAGCACTATTAACTTTCTTCTGCTTCCTCTCAACAGAATTCCTAGATTACCGAGCAAAAGCTAAAATCAGCACACCGAAGATACTTGTGTAAGTATGAATTTCTCCAGTATTTATGTAAATAACTTTGCTTGATGCATCACCATCATAACTAGGTATGACGGTATCGAATCTATAAACATCTGCAGTCTTTAAACCCATCTAATGTTTGGTAAATGATCAGGCTTCCGTAATGTTCAGAATGGAGACCCTCTGCCTGTAGTATGACTGCACGCTTTGTATCCAAACTTGTATTGCAAGTCTAACCGTAGACCTATGAGGAGCTAGCATATGTAATCGAAGCTGAAGTGTCAGCGTAGCTTGGTGCAGGGACGGACTGGCCGGGGTGGCGATGGGGCGATCGCCCCACTTTCATCGGCCAAAAGGGGCCCCGGGGGGGCCCCTTTTGGCTGATTTGAAGGGCCGTATTTCGCCGTTTCGAAGAAGCGCCCGAGGGCTTTTTCGGTTCGTCCTCGAGAAAGGGCCCCGAGACTCCTGAGAGGACAGGACACTTTATTGCCGATTCGGAGAGCGCCCTGAAGGAGCTTTTTTATGCCGTATCTAAGGGCGTTGCATTTTGAGAGCCCTTTTTTCTGATTCGAATAAGTCCAAAGGGGTCCTTTATTGTCATTTCGGAAGAGCCCTGAAGGACTCATTTATTGCCGATTCGAAGAAGACTCGATGGAGCCTTTTTTTGCCGCTTCTAAGGACCTTAAAAGAGCCCCTTTATCTGATTCATAGGAGTCCTTTTTTGCCGTTTCCAAGGGACCATTTATTGCCGATTTGAAGAGGCCTTGATGCGGTTTTATACCGCCTCTAAGGACCTTCAAGGCACCGGGCTCTTTATCGCCGATTCGACAAAAGGGTCCTTTTTGCCGGGGGCCCTTTGGTACTGATTCAGAGAGGCCTCGAGGGCGCATTTCTATGCAATTTTGAACTTTGGAGGCCCCTAGTAGGGAACCTTTCCTACCTTCCTCAAGGGATTTCGTAGGGGCCTTCGGCGATTTTTCCCCCCTTTAGCGAAATCCATAATGGGGGCTGTCCATATAATACGTAACGCAGTTTTTCCGATTTTTTTACCCCCATCCCCCCTCCGTAACGCATCGTAACGCAAGCTCGAACCATCCCCCCCTCATAAAAAATAAACAAATACGGAACACAAGCCTCGCCCCTCCCCCCTATTTTGGTCAGTTTTTTAAATTAACAAGGAAAGAAAAGGTCTTACGGCAAAAAAGAGTTACGTAACGTTGGGCTTGACCCCCCCTCCTCCCCCCTAAATACGTTACGTATTGTATGGGCAGCCCCAATGACTTTTTTCTAATTCAAAAATTCCCGCGACATAAGGCCTCTTTTGACACATTTAAGACGCGCGTGCGAGTCGATTCCTTCAAATACCATAGGGCTACTTCACTCACTCACAAGGCTCGAGACTTGTCTGGATCGCGAATGCGGTCTTCATCCAGTTTAAGAAAATATACTAAGTTTTGCATTTCTGGTCTCTTTTTGGATAATGTTTCAAAAATAATATTAAAGAATAGGGTCTAAAATAGCGTAAAATTCATTCTAAAAGGGCCTAATTTTCAAAATTCTCCGGGGGAGGGCCCCCGGACCCCCCCTCTACTGGGGGCCCCCCCGGACCCCCCTAGGGGCCCGCCCCATACTTAATTTAGGGCCAGTCCGCCCCTGGCTTGGTGGACTTCAGCATCTCAACGGTGCAAGTCTGCAATTACATTACTCGGTTTGCGACGTTGCAGACTTCCTGTCATACTTTATTTTTTGAATGGGAAACTACTCAATGGCAATTCTTTAAAACTGCAGTGGTTTTTCTTCTCTGTGCGAAGAAAATTCTGCAGAAACTTCAAGGAATGATGTCAATTTGTTACATAGAGGCGTAGATTTTCAGACACCTCAAATAAAATATGTGATTGCGGACTTACGCCGCTGATTTGCTCTTTATCAGGCATGTGTCCTGTCAAGTCGACGAGTATTCAGCTGAGATTCTGTCCTGAGCTCAGAAGGTAGGGCCAACAATAAATCCTGCTGCATTTCCATCGAAAACTGTCGGGTGCGCAGTTGGGAGCATCTGTGTTCCCTTTTTGCAGACTCCTGGCGCTCCGCACCCGGAGAAGGATTTTCTGTCAGCCCTCGCCTTCCAGCAGAGATCTGTCCTGTGCTCCGTAGGTAGGACTGATAAAAAATCCTCCAGGCCAAGACGGAATCTTTTAAACTGAAACGCCTTTTTTCAAAAAGGAAAATTTGCACAATTTCTCCTCTTTTTTTTATAGGACAAGGACTTCTAAGTAAAACGACCATAAGGAATACAAAAAATACTACTAAGAAACGTCAAAATTACTCTTTGTAGAGGTTTAAACCTTTACGAAAACATTTGCGCCTGCCTGGACAGCAGGCGCAAGTTTACGCAAGGTAAAAGAAAACACACAGAAGGTAGTAGAATTTAAAGTGGACTATCATACTTTTATCCACTAGCTGAATGAACCTCATACAGCCTTTCAGACAAATCTTGTTGATGTTAGCGATGGAAAATGGAGCAATGTTCGTCGAGCAGTTTGACCCGGATTGTTTTCCGATCGAGTGGATTTGACCAGCCTGGGTTCTTTAAATGATCTGTCATTTGTATTTTTTTCCTATTTTTTTCTCTAAAAACAGGAAAATTCACCAAGTAAACAAAGTTTACAATTAATAGTTAATTCGGTATCCTTCTTTCTCTAAGCATCTTGGTTGTGCTAAGAAGGCGCTAAAAACTAACATATATAGCGTAATAAAACAACTACATCAAACTGAACACAGACAGCGTCATCAGCAAACAGTAAATATACCTACTTGCATTTTAACTCATTCAGAGATTGATGAAGCTGATGATGAGTGCAAAGTAGATTGCTATAAGCTCTTCATATTTATTCACCTTATGTCTAATTGTTGCATCCCAGCATGTCTAAGCATCTCAAAGGAAACTTAAGTAAGGAACTAATATAAAAGATAATTATTCAGAGGGAATCGGGAAAATCTTGCTTTGTAAAATAATAGCTATTTTTTCTTCTTTATTTCAGAAAAAATGTTCCTGATTATAGTGCATCCAGGAGAGAAAACGATTTAGGGTACCTGACGTTTGATCTTCAAGCTGATCTGACACCTTTATTCAATTGGAATGTAAAACAGTTATTTTTATATCTCTCAGCGGAGTATTCTACACCAAATAATGCTTTAAATCAGGTATTATTTTTAAAAAAATCAGTGAACTTTGTAATGCAATGTGTGAAGGTAGTAGCACTAAATATATGTATATGAGTTTGGGTTGGTAGCCGAGTGCTTGTTGTTACCCTGACGATGAGGCGCCCGCTTTGAAAAGCTTCGGTATAAATAAAGTTATTAATAAAATGCGTTTTTTGAAAACATTTTTTGCATTATTTCTAGCACTCGGCTACCAACCCAAACTCATATATTATTTTTACTCTATCCTCTACCTCCCGCTCCCCCTCCCTTACCCTACAATTGTTTGAGTTCTAGATAAATGCAAGATTTTACATCAAATGGTTTCCAATACTTTAGTAAGGCTTCAAAATTTGTTCTGAGAGTAATTCATCCCACCGAATACATGCCCACTAATAAGTCTAATCAAGCTTAATAACTACACTAAAACTTAAAAAAACACAGACCCCAATTGTGATGTTTCATTTTGTCATCTTTTTTAAATGGTATAACATGACATTTTTGGTGATTATTCTTAAAAGGGCATTAAAAATTTGAATGTTAAAGTTCTTAATTCTTCACTCTTAAAAGTTGTTCAATAATGGTGATCATTCACTCTTCAAAATGAGTAAAATATGACGAGAAATCTGCAGTGTTACAATCTGAGATACATTGTTTTCTTTTTTTCATTTTTATTCATTTTTTTTTGTTTGTTTTGTTTTCAGGTAGTACTATGGGACAAAATTATTCTCAGAGGTGAAAATGCGCTCCTTGATTTTAAAAATATGAACATAAAATATTACTTTTGGGATGATGGTCATGGACTAAAGTAAGTTTTCATTGCAATATACTCAATTTTCAAAAGTCCACTTTCTCACGACTTTCTCATTATTTATGAAGGAGTATTTTTGATATCATGATGCATAGCAAAGTAAATCATTTTTTAAGAAGGAGAAGTTCTAAAGACTTTTATTGGAACCGCAAAGAGTCTAACCTTACTGAGCAAAAGCCAAGACCTTTTTCCTCAATTCAAGTTCAAAGTCAAGTTCAGTCTATCATATCATATTTTTGAGAGGGACCCTAAGGCATTGTAAAAAAATTGATAAGAGAATTTGAATTGATAGGAGTCTACATTAAGTCTGCAAGAGAAATAAACAAGAAACTTTAACTGCGTCTCAGTGATGCAAGAGACACAGATATGTGATTAGACTTTTAAAGGTATATTCACTCAAAAATCCTAGCATCCGCAGACACTTCTTTCCTCGTTGTCAGCAACCAGGTTTGCCGAGAAAAATGTTATATCTACCCTAAATATGCAAACAGTCTACAAACTGTTATCAATCTCTCTTTTCTGTGATTGCTGCTGTTTTAAGTAAAGAATTTGTGTCCCCTTTCATAAGGAAGAAAGGAAAATCAGTATGGACTTGGTAAAAGGTCCAACAAATTTTGCAAGATTGTTTGCATATTTAGTTAAAGTTTTCTTACATTGCTCTGAAGGCAAACCTGTTTGGCAACAAGAAATAAGTGCCCATAGACATGCAGTAGGATATTTAAATTGAAAATGTGTCCTACGGACTATACAAATTGTGCATTCATGAGTGGAATTTTGACTTTTTTGGCAAGCCCATCGTCCTCAAGAGATGATTTCACTGTTGAAAAGTCCAATCACCCATCTGTATCTCCTGTACTCAACTGACTCATTGAATCAAAGCAGGCTCACATTCAAGTACAGCTGGAATGATGTCAATCAAATATTTTATTTCCATATCAAATTTAGTATTTCTCTCTTTTCTGCCTTTTTTTGAAATTTGTGTTATATTTTATTTTAATTCTGATTGCTTCTCCATTTTCAGAGGAAATCCCAACGTTACCCTAACCTTGTCATGGAACATCATACCCAATGCTGGGAGACTGCCCATTATTCAGTCAATTGGATCTCACTCATTTAAGTTCCCGTCTGAGTACACAACTGACAGACTTTAATTTGTTACTCTTTTCTTTCTCTCTTTTGTCTCAATCTTCAACTTCCCCTGTAATTACCTCCCTATCCTAATATTTTTTCAGTTAGATAATTTTCTTCTTTTATAAGGTGTTTTTTTATAATTCTAGGCGTGTCTTTTGTTTTAATTTCTCCAACTTTTAAACTAGGCATTTCAATATTTCTATGAGTGAATTTTTTTTAGTGTAAATCTTTTGACTTTCTGAGTGTATGAATTGTGGATGAATCTTGTTCTGCTGAGGAAACGTAAATAAACAGTGATGAAAGTATTTATCAAAGTCATTCTTTCTCCTGCACATGATTCTCATTTGAAATCAAATCTTCCAGATTTCCAACATTTTCTAATAATTGAAACCATTTTATACAAGTTTTTTTAAAGAATGACAAGTGATATCTTATTAGAACTGGGGGGCCAAGGCGCATAAGTACAGTTTCTGCTATTTCGAGAAATATGTGTTTGAAGTTTCGAAATCACATGGATCCTTATAGCGGAAAGAAAGTTCAAACTGACTTTTTGATGCTTAAAAACAGGAATTTGCTACCGGATTATTCACAGATTATGCATTAAGACTAGTAACTACTTAAAATCATTAATATCTCAATTTTTTCAAGAACTGCACTTATCCTCTAAACCCCTCAATTCTAATTCAATATTATTTTTTCAAAATAGCGTTTTAGTGGTTGTAGATCTCATGTCTTTAAATTTTGTAAGCTAATTATTGAAATTGTATGCCAGTAAAGTGAAAACAGGGCCTTATCTTGCCTTGCTGTGGTGAAGTAGTTTCATTGTCTCATTGGAAACAGCAATGGCTGAAGTAAAAATTAAGTAGTAACCCATAGCAAGAAGTAAATTCGAATTCTATGTTATACGCCAGAACTTTTCACTATTCCACAAAATGAGGCAAGTTCCTTACTTAAAATTAAAAATTGGTCAAAGGTCCAAAATTACATAAGCAATTCCCAGGTCATTCTGAATGTATTTTCAATGGAATAGGGTATTCTCTCAATAACATTCAGTTCCTTCTTTCAAAGCTGCAAACAAAATTTTATCAGGAATGCATGTATTAAGTTCTTTATTAATTTCCTGAATGAGTTTGAGCTTGTAAAAGTGCTCATTACCCAAACATTTAACGAATAAGTTGGACATAGTGCTCCTCTCTAGTAGACGTTTTTGCGGAACTAATCGCCAGCCACAAGTTTTTGGATTGGTAGGTACAACATCAAGTATTCCATCAATCTGAAGAAGAAATGAGACGAAACTGTTGAGCAGCCCTGAAATCACATATTTCTGCTGGCAACGTTTAAGACTCCCTGTCATGCTTTATTTTTTCTTTGGAAAACTAGTCAACGCAATTCTTTGAAAACTACCTTGAGTTTTTTCTTGGTTAGCAGAATATTATCTGTACAAAAAAGCTAAAAAGATGGCTTATATTTCTTGAAAAATTAAAATAGAAGCAGAAATTTTGAAACTTTGCAATTGAGATACATGGTTTCGCACTTTAGCTATTGACATATGGGTCCATGGGGCACCCAGAGTGACCTGCAGGAACCCTCAGGGCTTCCAGATGGTTTGGCAGAACTAATCATTTTGACGATTTGAACTGCGCGCTGCACATTAATTTGCATATTTTTCCATAAGTACCCACTTGCATGCCTGGAGGTTCTCTCATTGGCCGTCGAATGGTCGTACTGACACATGATTGGCTTTTCTGAAGAATGTGCTACGATTTACGAGTACCCATTTCCTTGTTTTTTTTTTATCTCCGGCTCACTTCCGTCCATAACCTTAAATTGTGTTGCCAAATAAAGAAGTGCGAAATTGTTTTCAAGTTTCTCTGTTTTTCATGTAGAATGTTGACTTGACAATTTGTCTACCGTGACTTAGCGTTATTCCTGACTAACTGGCTGTATCGCGATACTGTTTCCTTTCCATCATCTCACCAGGAAGTCTCTGCTCGGCTTGTAATGCACAGCCAACTTCAAGCTCCTCCGCAATGACAGGATTCTTGTAAGCTCCTAACGCGATCAAAATCTGAGCTACATCTATTCAACTCATGTCCAGCATCTGAATGTTTCTAAAGACCGACAATCTCCTTACCAATTGTATACCATAATGGCTGAGTCTAATTCTACCCTCGAAAAGTTCTTCAAGAGCTACCGAGACTATGTCAGTCAGAATCCGCAGCTGACATCGGATATTGAAACGTCAGTGAAGTGGATCTCGTACATTCTTGCAGGTAAATTTTTCACACCTTTTCAATTTTCTCTCTAAACTGCTCCTCTCTGGTCTCAGCAAATGATCTGCTTACAATGAAAGTACTTTACAGCACCAGCTTGAGTCCTAGACAGCTCCACTTCTCTAAGTATCATGATGATGTTCATCCTATGACTTACTGAGTCGTAGATTATCACACATTTATACCTGTGCCTGGTCTAATTGTTCATTCAGTTTCTCCATCTCAAATAAGGATGTCTACTTTATCTATCAGGAGATATATTTGGAGGAAATTGATATGTGTAATTGACCAAAGAAGAAAAGGATGATAATTTTAAAAATCCAGGGTAGAGTCCTCACCAACAAAACTTATGCACTTTTGGAGTGAGAAAATGTCATGTTGAAGTTCGTATTCAAACCTTTGCTAAACTGAGGATGGCTAATCTTTAGTTGTTCTCCAAAAGTGTGTAATCTTACATTCTCAATGCAAATGTTTTCCTTCTAAGAGAGTTAATAAGATTGTCATTGGCCCTTTGATCACCACGGACATTTGGTTATTCGTTGTTACAATGTGCATCTGTTGGACCCCTCAACATAAGTAGTTCAGTCTAGACTCTGCATGTGGCTCTTTTAATGAGATAGTACGTCTGCAACCGTGATTGCTTATAGCATTAAAAAATTTGTGGAAGCAGCAATAGCGACCTGGATGACCGCCAAATACTCAGGTGCAAGGCATTCGCTTATAATGCTTGTAGTTAATTACTTACATGAGTGCTGGTTGCAACCCCTTAAGCTGTCTCACCTCTCCACCCTTTGGTCAAGTCTTATGCACAGTCGGTATTGTCCTACTTAAGTATAAGGTCAGACTGCCTGGCAGGAAGTCTCTCCTCTCTGCGCAGTATTTATTTTGAAGTTATGAAAGGGACTCTCTTTTAAATCAAATTGGATTGAAATGTTAAGAAGGACATAATCTTCCTCTTGTTCCAAATGAGGATAAATTTATGTTTATCACTTTCCATTGCTGCAATATCATTAGGTAGTATCTCTGAGAACAAATAATTCCAACTCACCTTATTTTTCAGTTGTGCTGCTGGTCAGATCTATTCTCAGTGATAAGCCTGCTAGACCATCTAATTGAAGGGTTTGCATAAGTACATGGGGGTTTTAACCATCTACTTATGGCATGAATTATTTTGGAGCTTGCATTCTGGGAGCAACAAATCTGTGATGTAGCTTGCGCATACTTAAACACGGACATTTTCTTCTCAGAATTTCAAATTTTTGCAACAATTTTTTTAAAAATGAAAACACTGATAAAAATTTGCAAGATCATGTCACAGAGGAAAGTTATTTTTGAATAACCTTATTCTAGCTTTAAAAGCCTCAAATATCAATTTTCCATAAGCTTATTTAGACTTAGTTAAAAAAAAAATAAAGCTATGTTAGAAATTGATAATTTTTTCTTTCTTTTTCAGCTCGTATTGATGATTCAAGCGTTTGGTCAGAACTGGTGTATTCACTATCAAATCTACTTGTTCTTTTCAATGATCGGATCATAGCAAAATCTCGTAACCTAGCTAGTCCTACCATCACTAGTGCGGAAACTTTAAAGACATGGTTAACAGTGTTGGAGTACTCGGAAGTTTTCATTGAACTGTCTTGTTACAAAGTGTTTGGCAAAAGGGGCAAGTGGGCCATCATCTTAAGCACACAGATATTAAAGTAAGTTTCTATGTTTAATTACAACTGCAACTTTGGTAATATTTTTCAGCAGAATGGAAAAATCCATTGATAAGTTCAAGTTATTTCTTTGTTCGGTATTTGTTGAACCTTACGTTCATGCATGGAATACAACTTGCAATTTTATTTATTTCATTTCCGAGTAATTGAAATTTTTAAACGTCGCAAATTGATTAAAAAGCTTTAATCAAAATACTCCAGAAATCTTTAATACTCCATATCATTCATTAGGTCTTTATAAGTATAGAGAATTCAGCAATTTACTGACGAAGAGGATACACTGGTTAAAAAAACCTCTTGGACCAATGCCATGGTGCATTGACTTAAGAGTGCAGTTTCTTATCGCCGAATTTAAGAGTCTTGAACTCTTGGTTCAAGTGGATTTTGCATTGATTCAATTCAAAATCCGCTTGAAACAAGAGTCCAGACTCTTGAATCCGGCAACAAGAAACTGCACTCTTGAACCAAGAGGTTTTTTTTACCAGTGTATGGAAAGACCCTCAAAACTCAGAAAAATGCCACCTTTTCAGGCTACCTGCCAATTTAAAATAGTGGCGTAAAGAGACTTGCAGTTTGTCTAAAAAAAAATTGTTATTCCAAGTTCTATCAAACGATGTGCCACATAAAGGAGGTCTTAGTATGAAATTTTCCAAATTTCGGTGGCTTGCCCCTGTCAGGGATCCCCTAGGAGAGTTGAGAATCGTAATCCCTCAAAAATTTTCCTCCTTAATGGTGTGAACAAAAATTCAAACTGAAACGCTTTACTGTACGGGTCAAGGAAGTTTTTTGCCCATCCCAGTTAGTATGCCAAGGCGTAAATCAACCACTATTTCACCTTTTAATTTTTCATTGCTTGGAATCTTTCATTCATTAAATAATCGTTCCACTGCAGGGTTTTTCTTTAACTTATTTCAAAATAATAATTTTTTTGTTGCAATTTCTGTCTGTTCAAAATGAAAAATACCTAGTGAGGTATAGGAAAAAATAAGAAATTTCAATTCAAAAAATTAAACCTATAATCAATGTATCATTCAAACAGCTAATAAAATAACTTATAATCTAAAAAGTAAAAAAAAGGCTCAAGTGCTTAAAGGGGGAAAAGATTAAAATCATCTTTTAAGGAACAATAATAGCAAATATACTTTTGCTGTATCTAGTCAGGTAGGATGACTGGAGGCTCATTAGAAGAACTAGGTTTATCTGCATTGAGTTTCCAAGACAAGTACATGTTCCAAGAGACTGCTACCATCTGAACAACAGGTACTCGGTAGGCTAAAGGCACAATGGAAAAGTTTGTGAGTTGAACCCATGGCCACAGCTAGAACAAAAAAAAAAACAAAAAAAAATCACTCATCAGCTTTTTCTTTTGCAGCAATGGAAGTCAGACACTGAATCTGAATTTATTAGGATTGATTTTTTTGAAGTGAGAGAGACTGCTCGGAAGCTCTTAATTTGATAGGTATTGCTCGCTAAGATTGTTCGGCAACAACTATCAGTTTACCTGTAGATACTTACATCCAACAAATTGTAAGACCAATTATCCTCCTAAGCATAGATTCTCTCCAGTATACTTATCTGACAAGTCATGAAAATTACCATCGACAAAATCGAAACTACTTAAATAAAATTGTCTCGAAAACGCGTTCGGCTGATTTGTCTGAGTGTTCAAGTAAAGATGAATTAATTTTTGAGTAGGGAGCTATGAAGGAAATGGATATGAGAAACAACTTGAACTGAAGTTAGGAACCAACTTACCATATAATTAGCCATCAAGATGTCAAAATAATTTGTCTTCAATTTATTTTTGGTCTCCTCCAATGACTTCCCCTGAGCAGTATTCACAAGAGATACTACTATGGCTAGAAAACAAGGAGCAAAACAACACTGGTCTATGGATACCTTGATAACCAATTTCTTGAATCCTCCTCTTCCAATCCGTTTTTCTAAAAGTCCAAACCAAGTTTGAAGAGTTGGTCCCTGTGAAACAAAGGTGATTCGTCAAAAAAATGTAAGGGTTAAATTGAAATCATATTTAAGAACCCAATCGAATTTGTTTCAATTTGGGGCCGCATCACTGAGAAACGGTCCTCTGTGAAAAAAAAGAATCATCCATCCCTTTAGCTTAGTTAAAAAGAAAGTTTCCTTTATGAGTTTTTTCCTTGTGAAAAAGAAAGCAGAGAATAGTCAAAAGTACTTTGAAATAATTACTAATTCATATTTTCTTAGGCTTTTGTTTTCTCAGCAGGTGGACATTTTGTACTGACTCTAATTTGAAATTAAAATTCTCATTTTATAGGGGAGCATGATTGATAATGCTGTAATTCTTAACTTCTCATTTTGTAAAACAGAAACTACCAGAAAATTTAACTGAAAATAGCATTTATCGTTTTATTATTATAATTATTGGAGAACCCTCTTACAATAAACAGTCCAACACTCCCATAGCGAACGGTCCGCTCTATGTCACACGGCTTCTTTTCTATGACTGCTTGAGAAATGAGGTCTCCAAATCCCATAAGAGCACCTGAAAAAAAAAAAAAAAATAATAATTTAAGCCAACTCATGATGAGTCTTGTCAAAATCAAGCATAAGAAGTTCAATTGCATACTGCATCAGTCCAACGTCAAATAAATGGACAGATTAATTGCATTTTATATGTTGCTAAAGATGAATATGTGACTTAAAGTTTTCTTATCAATTCATTGAAATTTTGCGGATATACCTATATTTGCAAATGCTGTCCGTAAATGCCATGAAATACTTGACCAGGAATTTTAAAAATCTTATCCAAGGCAATATGTCAATGGCTCAAGTCAAAAAAAATACGTACCTCCAGTTGCAGCACTACAAATATCTGTTCTTTCTTTCATTTTTTTTAAAAGAAAACAAAAGAAATTTTTTCTCTTAAAAAAAAAAAAACTGCTCTGTAAATCTCCTTCCCTAACTCAGAAATTATGGAAAATGTCAGGGAGATATTGTGGTCGACTTTCTTTTCAAAAATGAAACATAATTCGAGATTTTAAATTTTTGCAATGGAAGTATATATTTTTTGACTGCAGTCATCAATATTGTGATGTGTAAGTATGTACCAGCAAATAATGAAGAAGTATTGATATTTATTTTTCCTATCTAAAATTGAGAACGGTAAAAATGTTCAAAATGAAGTGTCAAGAACCTGCGACTGAGCAGGGAGTGAGTGAATCATGAAAGTCTTAGAAATTAAGTCAATTCCTTAATACACGTCTCTTAAAGCGTACTTCACCAAGGATCGGTTATATAAGATTATGTAAGACTTACTTGCTTGAACTGCTTGAGTCTTTAGAGGATGATTTGTCAATATAGCCTTGTAAGCATTGTGGATTGATTTGAAAACAGCCATACTTTCGGATTGATCACTTACTAACAGAAACTGCTCGCGAAATCCAAATATCTATCTATCCTAGTGACATAACAATCTTCCAGTATCAAATTTCAGCTAATGTAACTTTCGTTCAATTATCCTCAGTTTTTTTCCATCTTTACACGAAGGTTAATTTTGCGGGCCCACAGATACAATTTAGTAGGGATCCACTATGCTGCCACAGCAGTTATTTATGGTCTTGACTGATAAAAACTCACGATAAATTGCTGATAAGGAGACCGTGAAAATGTGGGCATGTTCACATTCTTTACATCAATCTCGAAAAGTTAGGTTATGTTGATACTTGGTTACAAGGTTGCCAAACGTACACAGATATTTAATTCCTCGCTTTTGAACTCAAAATTAAACAGCCCTCACCATAAGGACACTGTATTGTGCCTATAAACTAGTGAATTGGTGATATGTTGTGCCAATAATTTTTGGAATACTCTTCGAAGCACGTAAAATTATTCATTGTTCAGTCGAGAAGCGAGAAATATGAATGAAATTTAGCAACTACGTGGAGGCAGTGGTATGCGGCTTCCTTCAGCCAATCCCAGGCGTCGACGATAAAAGGCGCCAAACACCATTCGTTTGAATTCAATACCTGGTGCCTCGATGACCCGTATCCCGTATGTCGGCCGGTCGGCGTGGCGATAAGGTTTTACTGTGCTCCTGCATTTCCCCCATCATATAACTTAGTGCGTCAATTTACTCAGTAAATCTCTGTTTTTTTTTTTTCAAAGTCGTTGCACTGCAAATTTGTCACGCAATTATTACTGAATTTTAAATCTCAAGTTCAACTGCTTTATTCTAACCATCAAACAGTGGAAACACATTACTCTTTTTCTCCTCATGATAATTTTGTGAGTTTTATTTTCATTGTCTAGGTGAAAGTAGAAAGCTGTTGCTCACTTTGTATGACTCATTTTTTACCTGGATAAGGAGATTCTGATGGTAATCATATGCGTCTTTACCTGGATAAGGAGATTCTGATGGTAATCATATGTGTCTATGTGTGAGTGCACTTTACTATTCAATGTTCTTTTGTCATTTTCAGATGTTTGGCCAGACTGAGGCTCCTATTAGCCCACAAAGAAAACATCGTAGAAAGTCCACTGATTCGTCCTCTGAACAGGAACAATCTAGGAACAGAGCAAACTAACAGAAGAGTAGAAAAGAAAGACGCAGGTTTCAGACTGAAATCTGGAAAAGTAATTAGGAGTTTAAGCTCAGGTGAGATGAAGCAAAAATACTCTCAGCTAATGATTATGCAACACCTGGATTGTTGAATCTTTATCAAATGACCTTCATCAATATGAAGCAATTTTATTGATCAAGAGCATTCAATAATGCTTCAACAGTCTACCCGAATTTGTCACTTAGAACAACCCTAACATCTTATCTGATTTGAGTTGATTTATTTATTCTTTTGCTTTTTGCAATTTTGGCTTCACAAAAACGTCATTTTCAGAATAAAGATACTTATATAAACATATTTACATACAATTTGTCCTAGGGTAATTATTCAATGTTATTAATATTATTACAACTATATTCGTGTACGATTCTTCTCATAATGAGAATTCACAATTCTTTATCTAACAATTCATTGATTGAATAAGGGCATTTTGCTATTAATTGTCTTGTGGCCAGCTTACAGAACGTTGGTTTATATATGTTTTCCTTTACGATGTTTGGCAATCCATTAATGAAATCTGCACCTATTCAATTTTATCTTACCTTTTATCTTTAATTTTATCATTTTATTTTTCCTCCAAGTGATTCTCTCTACATCAGATAAAAGTGAAGAATGCAATCCCTTAAATTAGTTTGTCAAATATTAATTTCATCATGTCAACTGTTGGTTCAGCATTTCTTTTAATCAACCCCCTTTAACCCTTATGTCGATGCAATCGATTATTTTTGGTCTTAGAAGTAAAAGAAGCAATTTTAGCGTGGCTACAATCAATGAAAGTAAGGAATTTACTGATATTTGTAAGTTTTGAATTGTAAAATTATTGCAATTATATGAAGAAATATTAATAATCTATAAAGTACTAAGTTCTATCTTTATATTTGGCTTTCTCTGTTTTTGTTTTATCAAAAGCTTCCTTCTTTTTTTTTTATTCAGCGGCAGATCCAAGAAATGCACATTTTTCAGGACCTAGACCTGTTGTCAATGGAGGAATACCGCAGAGCTCAAATGCGGTATTGTATGAAGACAAAGCTTTGTTAGGGGAGGTATGTATGTTAAATGTCAAAGAATGCACTTTAAAATTTAGGTATGATGTACAAAAGCACATAAATTGACTGTAGTGTCCGAAAAGCTTTACTTCTTTTTAATTTCTTGAAGAGCACTCCTAGATATTTTTCCTCAAAATTCATAGAGTTCATTACTAAAATGTCTCAGATATATTTAAAAAAAAATAATAATAATAAATCAATAAAAAAAATCATTTATCCTCTACAGAAGGGAAATGTGATAGTGAATCTGAAATGTCACAAAATGAAGTACATGATTTTAAAATTTCACCTCCGTTATCTAGGTAATCTTTGTGCTATATGTAGTAGCGATAATATATGTAGAACTAAAGATTCGTTTGTGGGCAGGTGGTGGTTTGATTTTGATTCATGGTCACAAAATTAATCTTTGTCTAGTTGCCATCTTTGCAGATAAAAGTTTGTGAGCAAACTTGGAAATTTTAAAAAATGGAAAAAATGAAATAATTGAGAAGATCAAATGCTTTTAGTAGATCAGAAAGTAAGTTGCCACCAGGAAGCTTCTCAAAAGACGTTATCAATATTGCCTATCGGGCAAATAGTAGCAGAAGTGAAGAAGAACGAAAGAAAAAATCAGCCCTTTTTTTCAAAATGCTGACTTGCTCTGAATAAGTGGGTATTGTCGAGTCTCTTTTAAAGTGTATCAGAGGCAAAAAAAAGAAAAAAAAAAAAGAAAAAAAAGCTTGTTTTAATCCATATTCACACTGATGCTCAAGGTTACATAGAAAATAAATGCTAGAATAGGATGACTAGCTATTTTGTTGTTTGAGTCCTCGGTAATTTGATTCTTGCAAGTCGGAAACTTTATTTCTCCTTCATTTGAAACCATTGTAAATCATCAATACTATGGGGCAGCCTTCTGAAGTTATATTGATTGTTTTGCATACTGTCAAATGAAGGAATGCCAGTTTCATTATTATTTTGAAAGAATTGCTGAGAAGCACATTTCTCTGGTACAGTAGGTAGTATCCATCAACATGAGCAACAATGGCAGGCACCATATTCATTTTCTTATCTATTGATTAAATTTGTACGTTTGTGTTCAAGACAATTGGACTACATTTTGCAATTTGGAACTATAAATTCTACCCCGGTTTAAAAACAACGTATGTGCCATTAGTTCCCCTATGCACATAAGTGTTTTTCCAGAAGAGCCAGAATTGGACTGAGTTAAGCAGAAAGGAACCAACCCACATTTTGGAAAAAATTGAGTTATGAGTGGTTTTGAACTCGACCACTACTCTACTATCTATCGCCAAAAATTCAAAGTTTTTGTTGGAGCAAATTTTGCAGAAACAGAATTTGAAGTTTATCTTTCACATTGAGTCTTATGCAGGAGACAAACTTTAAACCTCTTTTTCTCGGTTCGATGCCGATGTGGCTTGGTTCCTTTCTGTTTAACTCCGTCCAATTTATAGTTCCATATTGCAAAATGCAGTCCAATTGATCTCAATTTTTCTCTCTTTCAGATTCTGTACATACTCAAACCAATAGTCCACCTCAGTACTCTTATTGCGGTTGGCAATAAAAAATCTTGGAAGCCGTATATAACTTCTTTCGTTTTTGATGCTTTAAGGTGAGTGGTTAAGTATGAGAATAAGTTTGTACAAAGGCTGTTCAAAAAGTGCATAGACTGAAGCTGTAACTTGAAAACCAATGTATGTAGATAGCTGTTCTTGGTCTCATTTTAAAGATCAACTCATTATCTACTGATTGAGACCAAGATCAACTCATTTGGTTAAAAATTGAGAAAGTTATGCAAGTTTAAACTTTGAAAGTAAGTTGTTTACCCCTATGGTTTTTATTGAAGATTTTCACTCACCGAAATTAGTATGTTTCGTCTTCGTTTTCACTATCATATGACTCTTCAAACTTCTCTCTTTCCTTTTCAAAGTATTAATGTTTTCCGCAGTTAAAGACGTCAAAGGCCGACCAGACTTTGGGAGAACTTCAGCAGAACTTCAGCTTCCTTATCTTTTTCCATATCGATCGCACAAAAATTAGCGCAAAATGCAACAAAAATCATTAAGAGACTGCCTTAAACCCGCGCGCACCTGTGACATGTCACCAACTGAGGAAACTTCCCGAGTTTACAGGGTAAGTCTAGCCGATCGGGCTTCTTACCCATTGGACCCGTATGTACCCTAGTCGGTCGACGATTACGGAAAAGTGTTTACACAGTGTGCTATTCATGGTTGCCAAGTGTTTCTGGTAAAATGATGTATCAAAACGTATTTCAAGTGACAACTTTTGGCAAGAGACAATTTTCAATAAAAACCGTAGGGGTAAAACCTACTTTCAAAGTTTAAACTTGCATAACTTTCTCAATTTTTGACCAAATGAGTTGATCTTGGTCTCAATTGATAGATAGTGAGTTAATCTTTAAAATGAAACCAAGAACAACTATCTACATACATTGGTTTTCAAGTAACAGCTTCAGTCTACGTACTTTTTGAACAGCCTTTGTATTTTCCATGAGATAGTCAGTTAGACAATATGACACCGTTTGGAAATTAATTTGGGACTCTTGGAGGTTTCTCCATTTGAAGTTTTCATAATGAACAGTTATCTTCATTATTGCTTAAAATTCAGAATGAATACATATTATTCAGTTAAAAATTCATATTCATTGAGCATGATGCTTTCAACTCCGAAGAAATTATTTTGTCAATCCTCAATGCCTATAAACTTTGTGTTGAGGTAGTCATTTTTAACCTATTCAATCCCAGTCAGAGGCATCGCAGCTGGCACCTTTAGCCTAGGTTAGAAGTTTAAATCATGCAAAAAAAATCTCAACTCTTTGCTAATTTTTTAGGAACCAAGCCCATATTGAATTTGAATTAGCGTAGAAAAGACGATAAGGGTTTGAAGAACAAAAAAACAGCTAATGACTAAAATACAAAATAAGAAGCAAAATCAAGTTTAATTTTGACAATGGAAGGTGTGAACAGCAATTTTTGAGAATTTTATTTAAAGCTGTTGGTCAGTTTTTATTTACACAAACAAAACGTAAGCAGAGACTTACTGCCTGAGATAGCCATTTTTTATTTTTAGCCGTAATGTCTAAAACTTTCTGGCAGTGAACCAAAAGTTTTTTTAAAGCCAAGTAAAATCCACTGATTGTATTGATTCTTCTGTAAAATCTCTGTAAATTCAGCCAAAATCTTCAGTCATCTGTAGTGTCTAATGCTTTAGACTCTTCTTAAATCTCTTTCTAGTTTATTTATCCTGTCCAGTACTTTAGTTTTCAAATCCATCGTCTATTCCAATTTATTTGGAATCAGGAGTGGGAGCTGACGATATGCTAATTTGCGCTTCCGGCTCTCTCTTCTGCAATCTTTTTATCCTTTAAAGTTGATTTTATCTCTATTATTTATATTTTTACCTCTGCATTTTCATAATGTAAATGAATTTTTGTCACATAGTTGATAAGCGCTTGAATTAATAAAGGAACAGTAAACAAAAAAAAAAAAATCTTCAGTCGTAAAATGTTCAGCCATTCCATTTGAATCCTGCCATTTCTTTTTCAGTATCTACTTAATCAGATCATCAACCGACCCACGTCAACTAACAGTCAACCAAAAAGTGGAGCTCTCACAACGAACGATATCACTGCTCATGTATCTGCTGCGCTCTCCATTCTACGACAAGTATACGAAAGCAAGACTCAACCGACTCCTACTAAGCCTCGCCAACTCGATCCCTCTCTTCAGCACCCTCCTCAAGCCTCTCGCTGAGTACATTCCCAAATGGCAGGAAACCTACTTCTACATGTGGTCAAATTAGTCTGTTCCATTCAGGTATTGGGTTCAATTTTGGAGCTAACTAGTTAGCTTTCTTCCCTCCAGTGATGCTTCCTCTGGAATGTTCCTTTATTAGATTTGCTATACAATATCCGAAATGAGGTTCTTCAGGACACCTCAGAAAGAAACCTTTTCCAGCCAAAAATCTGTATCTTTGAACTCTGCTCGTTCTTTTTTACCTCATCGTGAGTTGCAAAATATATTGTTTTGCTAACCTATCTCGCAATCGTAGGCAGTTTACCCACTCTGGTTTTGCTCTTTTTCACTAAATTTTGAATACCCCTAGAACTCATTATTCACAAGGATTGAACATTTTGAGTGCCATGCTGTGCAATGTAACATTTTGGTCTCTCTGAAACAGCCGGAAAGTAGTTTGATCTCGAATTATTTGTCCTGTGAAACATTTATAAATTTTAGTTGGGGTGGAAAATTGAAAATGAGCATTTGAAATGACTTTAGAGTGACGGTTGGTTTCTCTATTCTCTGTCTAATAGGACAATCACTTTTGGTTCTGGATCTGCACTTAATGACTCAAAAGGTTTACCTTGATAACGCCAACATTGATGGTGCAAGTCCATTGTAGATGGATTAAGGTTAAACTGTTTTAGTTGAGCTAAAACCGACAGACTGATTTTGTTAAAAAAAATCGGTCTTATTAGTGGGTTTTTTCAGCATGATATCTTTGTTGTTCAAGTGTAAATGAGAATTAGCCACTCAAAGCTATTTACAGTCATTTTATTAGAAATATGGTTATGGTAAAGCTGTTCATGTGTTATCCAATAATCTCTGTAACTCGGCAATTTTTTAATGTCCATTAGAAGATTGTAAGTTGGGCCAACTTACTGTCTTACGATAGATAAGATAATTAGGCCATATTATACTGAAATAATCATGTGGAGTTTTGCATTGGCTTCTCATCGAAAATGACTCACAGACTCTTTCTGAACTGTTGGAGGCTGTGGATTATTCCACCAGATGGTACCCAAGCGTTCATTTGGTAGGACATAATCTCCTGACAAGTATTCGTCTTCAATGTATAGGGATAAATACCGAGACTCGTACATAAAATACTTGTAAAATACTCGTACTACTGAGTTTCAAAATTTCATTTTCTAGATCATGATCTTCTTTTCGAATCACAATATCCTCTTCCAGAACTACCTTTCGTGAGGGTTATATTCCAAGAAAACCTTACGACTTGCGGAACCTTGTTCTTATGAGATAACAGGGGTTAAGGAAAAATCTTTGTTAATCTTATCTATTTCTTTACTGTAAAAAACCCCTTAAGTATCGTCTATCTCATTCTATTGCAGAGATCCCTCTGTAGTTTGACGGAGGTTAGGAGTGTATTGTACTCTCAAAAAATTTAAAATTCGAATATTATCTCATGATGGCGTAAGCTTTCTAGCAAGTTTCTGGGGTACTAACCTCTTTTTCTTTTTCCAAACATTCCTCTTTTTTTAATTTTGTAATGATTCATTAATTTTTAAAGTAATTTTAACGGTGGGGTACAAGAAGTAAATGACCACCGTGCAGGTAAGGGTTTAGGTAAATCACCCACATCTTTTCTCAAAACGTGTTTTACATGTTAATTGGTTTTGAACCTGCATTGGTGTTGTTAGGGAATGGTTAAGGGAAATAAAAACTCGCCAAAAGATAAATAGAAGACGAGATAATTATTATTACTCCAAAAAATATAATCAATTGAAATTGGAATTTGGAGTGGAACTAATAAGCAATATGCAGATTGAATATGGTAGTTTTTTTTTCAAAACATCGTAAGGCTTATTGACGCTGACCAACCAACGCTTTTTTCTATTAAAAGAAGATAATAGAACTTCTTACGTGCTTGAAATTTATCTACTCACCCAAGAAGCGCTAAGCATTCTTTAAAGTGTTCGGAATACTTTTACTGTCAAAAATGTTATGAATTATGATCATGAAAAGCATTGTTTATTTTAGCATTTTTAAAGTAATTACATTCATGGACCTTAAGTTATGAAGACATTTTATTCAGATTTCTTTTGACAAGGCAATGCAAGATTTTTCCCATCTTAAGAGTATGAGAAACAGGTAAATTTTAAATTGAGAGAATAGCTAAAATTTTTCATGCCTAAGTAATAACATGTTTGATCATTATATTTAGTCATATATGGAGTAATTTTTTGTGTTATTCTTTTGATACATTTTTCCGTAGGCATGACGAATCAGAAGGGGGGGGGGGGCTTTCAAATGCCATGCGAATCAAACTTGCATTTAGTAGGTACTTTTCATATTGCATCTCATTGTTTCAAAAGGAGCAATGCCGTGCAGTAGAATCTTCAGAGGGGTACCGCTACATCGAAAATTCTGAATCTCTAAACAGTCGTCTCTTATGATTTTTTGTAATTTTGTTTCTTACAAGAAACCTTTTTATCCATCCCCCTTAGTTAGCATCATACAAAAATGGAAATACAATCTGAAATTTTATTCAGATGTTAGTGCTAGGAATACCTAATTATGCATCTCATTTTTCTTTTGAATTCCTGTGATGTTGGGTTTCATATACCTAATTTTTATTATCTTGATGGTCTCTTTTTAATATATCTGTCTTTAAGCTTTGCACCCATTTCCTTTTAAAATCTATTTCAAAAGAAGATCATAAAATGACTTCTCCAGAATTTTTTTAATGCTGCAATTAAAAGAAAAAGTCTTTTTATTGGTGGGAACTGAATATTTTGGGAACTTGTGACATTATTATAAAGTCACAGATTGATGGTTGCACCCGAAACGGACCTTTAACTTTGCATGATATTTTTTCTGATCTTCTGTGTACGGTCTCTTGTTTTAACACATTCAGTGTCCCTGATGCTATGTAACAACATCTCTCTGTAATTTATACTTCCTCATTATTTGTCGGGTTTTCGTAATTTACAAAGTGCATTGAAACTGCAAATATAGTTTCAATTCTTAAAGGGTGCGTAAGCTTTATTAAACTTGCAGTTACAAGTCCACAGGACAAAACTGCTATCAACGGTGATGTTTTTTTATACTCATCTATGAATGTTTTACAAACATAGTTTTCATTATTTGTTGAATTTTAGATTTTTAATCAAATGGTTTTTTGTAAATATGTATCTGAGTAAAATTAAGAAAGTAAATATCTCTGGTTTTTTGGTAATGTAAGTGAATGCTTTTTTTTCTGTTCCTTTTTTTTTTTTTTTTTTTTTTTTGCACTCATTACACATAATAGTGCAAATGTTGTTTAACTGAAAAATCTCCCAATGGTCATTGATTTCAAGGATTTTGGAAAGAAACAGGAATAAAAAATAATGGAAAACATTTTAAATGAAGTCCTTAAAGTTTTTATTTGACAAATTACCAATTTTCATTTTATGTACAAGCACATACAAAATTTTGTTCTAACATATTTATAAAAAATATATGATTTCCGTTCAACTTTTTAAAGGTTACACATCATTATTGAATGATAAAATGACATTGTTACCCTTTTATAAAGTTCTGGTTACTCCTAAAGTCAACCTAGTTTTCTCTGTTTCAACGGAAAGGAATAGTTTGAAACGAGTTCAGTGTAGTGCCACTAGTAGGGTATACGTTCAGAGTGGGTATACCATGTTCACTAATATCTTAAATAGCTCCATCACTCCTGTTATTAAATTTTTGGAATTTCTCTAATTTCTGCAGAAATAATTTCAGTCATGTCATTTTGCAAGGTAATCAGAAAGCATTGATAGCTGTAAATGTACCCTTTGTTTAAAGAGCCGAAAAAGACATATGTATCAGATTTTCTGTCGGTACTTTAATTAAAATCTCATTCCCTTAGCCCATTTTTAAATGATCTGAAGCTACTCAGTATCTCAAAGACCCCCTATCGACTGACGCAAGTTTGGAGGGCACACTACATGATTTTCTCATAAGCATGTCTGTTAATAAGACCAATCCACACAGGTCAGTTATTGTAGTAGATGAGTATGGAAACACTCTTCAAAGGCAATGCTTTTCTTGTGAAATTAATTTGGGATGAGCTAATTGTGTGTCATATCATATGACTGTATCATGTCTATGTGCGAAACCACGTATTCCCGTTTTTCCTCGGAACAAACTTCCTGTCTCACTTCATTTTTCTTTGGAGAACTAATTAGTGTTATTTCTCGAGATCTTCCTTGTTTTTTCCCCCCATTAGCAAAATATTCTATACGAATTTCAGGCTGCAAGAATGGCTTGTTCCTCTTCAGAAAAATTAAATAGCGGAAATTTTGAAACACTGCAGTGGTTTCGCACTTAGGTCATTGATATGAGCTGCAGTGAGGTGGGGGAATGAAGTTGAGAATCTGAGGAAGATACATAGTGACAGACTCAAGTAGAACAATCTGGGACGACAATCTTTTTTCTGAGGATGCCCTCTGGGACTTCCTCGAGATTAATGCTGTTAGATTCTAAGCCCATGCAGAACATGTCAACCCAGCAACGAGAGAAATATTTAAAGTGAGACAGGAATTACATCACATTTTATCAATTTTTTCAAGTAGGTAAATTAACCTACTATACTCTCTGATGTTATTCGTAATCATTTATTCTACTCTAAAGTTTAGCAAAAATTCCAAATGGTATAATTGAATAGTTCTTTCAACAGACGTACCTCATCTGGCGGTACTGGAAATTCCTTTCTTAGGTAAGTACTAGCTCCATTAAAAAAAAAAAAAAAAAAAAAAAAAAAAAAAATCTTGAAAAGTTATCGAATGGAATAGAGCTCAGGTTTGTCAACACTTGGAGGCAAGATCATATCAAGCCCTGGTGCTAAAACTTTATCATCAGACTCTGGTCTCGGAAAGATTAGTTTTGGCAGTTTCCTTATCACTTTGATTTGTCCCTCTCAGTAACTAGCATTATTTCCCCTCATGGAAATACTCATCCGGCGATCATTGTGTCGGGTGAGTATCGTGGGTGTTTGCGCAATAAGTGGTGGGTGGCGTAGTCTGCTTGGCCGTGGGATCAGATTCCCGTCAGTAGATGCGCGACCTCTGAAGGGCAATTCCAGGAGCTCTGACTCTGTTTCTTTCTCTCCATTTTTTGCTACAACTCCTTTCTCCTCCTCCTCCTCGTCCAACTCCACCTCTGTCCATCTTCGTCCTAGTAACATATACATATTTCTTAGTCAGGCAGCATGGTTATCAACCCTGAACTGCAAATCTTCAGATCAAATTGCTGACAAACTTCTCTGAAAAATTGGAAGAAAATATTCAAAAATTTCTAAGGAGGTCTGTGTTTTATCAAGGCATATTTGGCAACAGTGGAAGATTCATAAGGCATTTGTCCAGTTTTCATCCCTAAACTATAAATCCTCCTCATTGCAGATCGCGGATGACGGTGATGAATTTGTTCAGCTTGTCGGTTAGAGCGGCGCACAGTGGATCGAGTCAATTAGAGAGGCCGGGCATAAAATTGTTGACTAAAACTGCAAATTTTGATGTTTAATTCATCAGATTTCAAATTTTGAGGGGTGTCACTAGCAGATGATTTTACAAGAAAACCAATGGAACCACTTTTAAAACCTCAAAGTTTTGTTAAAACAGAGTTACAAGCTTTTAAAGTTTCCAAATTATGGCCGACCTGTACCGTTGAGTCGATCCACTTGGAAATAACGAAATCGTAGGCAGTTTGCCTTCAAATTTGGCGATGCAACCCAACCCTACGCCGAAGTTAATTAAGTTGCATCCACCGATTGGTTGTATTCTGATTGTTTCTGCGTATCCTGAGGACCTAATTGGTACCTACATTTGAGGAATTATATCAATGAACTGACAGTCACTCACAGCCATGCAAAGCAAAAACGCTGTATGAACTTTCGAATGTTGCCAAATGTTTTTCGATAAAGTATTATTCTTAAGGAGAGTTATGAATATTGTTTTTTGAAAGTTTCAGATGATTTTGATCAAATTGCGAACGAATGTCTCTGAAAACTTGGGAGAAAATATCTAAAACTTCTCCACGAAATCTGTGTTTTATCCAAAGATTTTTAGCAACAGCCGAATGTTCATGCAGGGTTGCGAAATTGAATCAAATTTCCTGACTTTTTGAAAAAATTGAAAAAAACTGTTGGCGCTGAATTTTCTTGACTTCTCCCTGGCGTTCACAAAAAAAGAAGAAGTTTAATTTAAAAACAGTGATGCAAACGTTGAAGCAAATGTTTGTAGGTATGATCACTTGACCCTGGTAAAAATTGGCGATAGGAGCTGCGTTTCAAAATACCATAGGAATTCTTATAGCCGGCTAAAGAAGGCAATAGAAAATCATATAGCTGGCTGTAGGAAGCGTAGCAAATCAAATAGCCGGGCTATATACGAAGCGATAAAAAAGTATGCAGCCGGGCTATAGTTCCTATCACCGGGCTTTACACTTTATCGCCATCGGCTATAAAAGGCTATAAGAAATTGTAGAAATTCGTGTGCTTTGGAAATCATTGTTTGATACGGAACCACCATAATATTCACAAAACACACATTATATTTTCCTTTAATACATATTTTTTTTCATCAATTAAAATGAGAATATTCCATACAGGATGTGCAAACATTTCAAAATCATAAGTTGAAAAACGCTGACTCCGCAAGATTATATTGGAGCCTAACACAGAGCGGAGCGGCGTGCTGCCAGCGATAAGCGCGCGCCAGCGCCTACAAACCCAACAGGGATACTTCACGCATGGCGCAATGCGTGAAGTATCCCTGTTAGGTTTGTAGGCGCTTTTCGCGCTGGCTGCCCGCCCGCCGCGCCGCGCCGCAGCGTACCACGGCGCTTGAAGCAACTATTTCACACCAGAAGTATTGCGCAGTATCATACGAAATTGAAGGCGCTCCAATATATTAGGAATGGCAGGCATCCTTCAAAAGTACGGAGCTTTCCGCGCAAAATAAATCAAGATACTACGGCCCAAAAATAGAGCGGTACTTAATCCAAAAACAGTCCTAGCATCCGTAATTAGTAACATTTAGCATACACTTTATCGCCTGGCTGTTGCTTAATCGTCATCGGCTATAGAAGGTTATAAGAAATTGTGCAGCCGGCTATAGAAGCTATTGAAAATCTTACAGCCGGCTTTAGGTCTATGGTATTTTGGAACACAGATTCTACAGCCAATTTTTACCAGGGGAAGTCTGATAATAACTCGAATACGACCGACAGCATTATGATGTAGAATCTTACATGAAATAATATACAAACCAAAAATAACGGATATGAAGGGACGTCCATTTGGAGTGCTAGCTTGATGTGGCGTCAAGGGCAATTCCGGGCTATTCATCTCACTTGATGACCGTTTGATTTTAGGAAATTTTGTGTGCACTCGCCAAAACTGACAAACATCTCTAAAGACACACCATACCTGGAATGAACGTCAAGGCATTACAATTAGCTCTCGTTGGTAAAACTTTTGAATTGAAGGAGTTGAATTATATGACTGATTTTCTAGTTTTTTATGAGGTACACATCCAAAGATGAGGATTCAGGATACTTGTATTCATTTTTTACTTTTGATGTTTGAAAAAGATTTCAGTAATATGTTGCTGCAGTTGCAGATAAATTGGATGAAATGAAATAGATGCTTTCTACTTTCACACCTAGCTAACATCAGTAGCTAGGTAGTCTTGAAAATCATATGAACTTCCGGAAAAAAATCTAACTCATATAAATGCTCATAGAAAAAAATCACCTCCCTCGTCGGGTCCTAAAGGCTCAACACTCTTTTGCCCTTTCATCAAATGGTTCTATTATAGCGGTATAGTTCAATATCCCGTCCAGCATCACATACGAAAGTTCATCCACGTTGAATAGGTACTTTCTATGGATTAGATTACTCGCAAAATTAGGTGACCTACCTGCTCTATACTTTCCCTGACGGAAATTTCATGGAAACACACACATCCTATTTCACGGCTCCGCCGCTGACCATCTTCCAGACTGACCATCCTGTCTCCTGATTGGTCAGCCTTGTTGCCTACTAGAACAACTGGGACCTCTGACAGAGCCTCCTGGAATTCGAAAATTTATCAAATGAAGGTCTATGCCGGGTAAAAAGAGATGGTGTCAACTTTCAAAGTCGTTGCTTTTACCAAAAAAATAAAAATAAATAAATAAAAAAAAAAAATAGAAAAAATTGTCAATATCTTTACAGTATTTACTCATTGCTTTTTCCATCAAGGAAGAACGGTGTAAAAAAACAAGGAGACGCGTTCAGTCTAACGGTGTAGGGCTACACAGAACATAAAATGAAGCTACCTGATTTATAAAGATTTTGAGATTTTAGAAAAACCTGCTGCTTGGTTTTTTCCTCTGTTATATTTTTCATTTCAAAGAAGTAAAATAAATAGAATTTAGATTTAGGACTTTCCAGAAAACTTCTCCGTGCCAGCAAGTGTTCTCTAATATTTTCATCAATTTTTTCATCATTTTCCTCTTTGTTCTGTGAAACGTGAGAGAAGAAATTGTGTAACTATGGCATCGAGACCGAGGGCTGATTAGTTCTTTCAAAGGTACTTACTGAATTCCTAGGACTGCTGATTCTGAAATGTCTCATCAAAATAAGAGTTCAATAATTTTAAGTTGCATAAAACAGTTGCGAGTAATTTATGAAAACTCTTAAGAAAATTTGACTGCAGAAATGGAAATAACAATCCAAGTAATTATTGGTAATTATTTTTGTCGAGAATCTCCGCATGAATTTTCATGACATTATTTTTTTTCACGAGCAGTACTCCCACGGCAGGAGGTCAAAAACCTCTACTTACTTTTGTTGAATTTGTAACCAACCGACGTCTCCGTTTGTTGTAGTTAATGAGAAATTTCAACCTATTACATTCATCAAATGAGCACTTGTCGGTTACGGAATACATCAAGATAAATGCCTCTGCCCACCGGATGTTCGGCTCTAAAGTCAGACATTCTGCCTCCTGAAACAAAATGAATCGAATACTAAACATTACACCATAGTTAAACACTTCAGAAAGGCTCAGAAATATACCTCATCGAAATTACGAAAAACCGCTACTTTTGTAGCAAAAATTAATCGCTTAATTCAATCTAAACTGTACAAGAAGGCAGTCTCATTTACCAATTTCACGATGTAACGCCGTTTGCTAGTTTTTATTTTAATTTCTTTTTATTTTTAATTCTTTTTGCAGTTGATAATGGTGCCGTAAGGTACCGAAACGTCCTGCCTTTATATTGTGTATTTTTAGCCTTGTTTCCGCTTTTTCCTGTGTTTTCGACTGTACAAGAAACGTATACGTAACGGGGTAAGGTGGCCGCATTTTTCAAGGTATATCCCCTTTCCCTTTCTTACATCAACATGAAAAAAGAAATATAGTCATAGTCAACCAACTTTAAAAAGCTACTCACAGTTTTTCTGAAAAGTTTCCGCGAATTTACCTGAATGATCTCAAATAATTTGAAGTATCGAAAATTTCGACGCGATATCTTTGTTCGTTCTATTTTTTTTAATGTAACAAGAAAAAGAAAAAAAAATCCGAGTTTCTACTATGAGGATACACATTTTCCCTCTAATTATGGTAAAAACTGGAGCAAAAAGTCAAAAATGATGAAACGCAGTCCTATAGCAGTGCTACAACAGTCTTGTCTCATGCAGGCGCTGATACGCGCCTCACGCCAACTGACCGACTGCACTGCGTTTGGCGCAATGCGAGAAGTATCCATGCAGTCTTGTAGGCGCTTATATGGGCGTCAAGCCGACCGCACTGTTTGGCGCAATGCGTGAAGTATTCCGAAAGTCTTGCAGGCGCTAATATAGGTACGCTTAACGCCGGCCGCACCGTGTTCGGCGCGATTATTCGAACTCGTGTTAGAATAATCGTGGCATCGAATAATAGAGCTCAAAAAGCTCATGTTGTGTTTCGACGCCGTATTAGCATTCCAACGTTGCTTCGTTCCTCCCGACTAAATATTTTTACCGAGAAAACTTAGGAAAGTTCTTTATACCCACGACCATTATCCAATCTTTTCACTTCATTTATTATCAGAAGGTGAGACGTCGATGGCTTGTCAACATACTAACCTGAACTAGCGTTAACATAAAAATGCGTTTATTTTCCAACTGTTTCCTGGTTTGCCAAACTTCTACCTCAAATTAACTTTATTATAAATTCGCGCATTCCTGTAGCAGATGTTAATGTTTCTATTCGCGCAATCCTGGTGCCTTTTCCGCGCAATCTTTCTTAGACCTTTCCTGCAGTTCTGAATTACCGCTGAATAATTAAATGAACGACGATGAAGAACACTCAATCCATCAATTTACTACCCAGGCGCTTCGTGTAATTGCAGATCAATTAAGTATTGTCCAACTTATGTAGTTTGCGCGGATTATATCACTCTTGTGTGCTCTGATATTCCAGAGTAAAAATTGCGAGCGTGTGTACGTTCGGGCCGTCCATAGATGACTTCAGGCACAACTTTCGGTTTATTACACCTCCCATTCCACGCATACTGCCATGATAGCGAAGAGAGCAGTAAGTGCAAAAATGAAGTTTTGAGAAAACGGGCTCAGAAGCGCTTGACTGGAAAATTTTATTGGAAGAAGTCTCTGTTCTCTGTCAAATTGCCTCCGAAAGACTAAATGAAGACAGACTATGTCTAAGAAGACATCATTTGGATAATTAAAAATTGACCAATTTTCAGGCCCGCCACAAAGGGGGGGGGATACTGGGTCCCTGGTACCGGGGCCCGGGCCCCGGAGAGGGCCCTTGTTACCCGTGAAAAACCACTACGAATTCACATGCAACCCTTGTTTCGTAAGAAAAAGTGAAAAATTTACCCTAAAAATTTCGCAAAAGGTGAATAGATTTTCAGAAACACTCTGGGACACTGTAGAATTCTTCTTAAATTTTCAAAGAAGTATACTTCCTGGAAATTTTCTATCTATTTTCAAGATTTTCAGTACAAAGAGATATTTTTAGTAACTGCGTTTCATTTTCTTCCGTCGTCAGATGGTAAGAGTCTCCAGTCTGGGCATCCTCGACTTCAATGGCTCATGGTTCAACTCCCTCGCCATAGACAAACGAAGGGGGAGTCCAGGGGGGCCTGGCCCTCTTAGAACTGAAAATAGTATCATATGCCCCCCCCCCCCCCCCAAAAAAAAAAAGAAATAAAAATTTTCCACATGTTTTGAATGCAACATTTCGCAAGCATTTTGTGCTGAAAGTAGAAAAAAAAAACATAACTATTCCGCAGAAATTGATGGAAAAATTCTTTATGGAAGCTTCAAAATGCGTCCGATTAGTCGTATAAATTCTAAAATTTCTCAGGGGATGCCTCTCGGACCCTTCCCCCTCCGTGCCTGGGGCCCGGACCTTAAAACTGGTACCAGGGCCCGAGATGGGATGTGCGGCGAGCCTGCATGAAGGCTATTTCCATTTAAATCTTCCGTCACATTCATACGGCGCAATGATACAACTATTTGAACTCTCCGGAATGCGTGAGGTGTCACGCCGCATTTGAAGGCATTTTCAAAACAGCCAAGTTCCGTTATAGGAATAATCGTTTTGCATAGTTCATATTATTTTGTTTCCATTTCTAACCACTTGTTTAATTATAATCCTCATATAAAATCCACCCATTTGCTAAATACAATTCTAGCTGAAGTGCGCTTCAGCTATGCATTCACCATTGCAAAAATTTCAGAGGAAATCGACAAGCCCAGCGTGCATGGAGGCTATCTCCATTTAAATCTTCCGTCACATTCTTACGGCGCAGTGATACAACTATTCGAACTCTCCGGAATGCGTGAGGTATCACGCCGCATTTGAAGGCGTTTCGAAATCAGCCAAGTTCCTATACCCGGATTATTGTTTTGCATAGTTCATATTCTTTTGTTATATTCCGTGCCACTAGTTTATTTTTAATCCTCCTATAAAAACCACCCATTTGCTAAATACAATTCTAGCGGAAGCGCACTTAAGCGCATTCATGACTGCAATAATGTTAACGGAAATCGAAAAGGCCAGCGTGCATGAAGGCTCTATCTATTGCAATCTTCCGTCACATTTTTAAGGCGCAATGATACAACTATTTAATGTCTCCGGAATGCATGAGGTATCACGCCGCATTTGAAGGCGTTTTGAAATCAGCCAAGTTCCTATACCCGGATTATTGTTTTGCATACTTCATATTCTTTTGTTATATTCCGTGCCACTTGTTTATTTTTAATCCTCGTAGAAAAACCACCCATTTGCTAAATACAATTCTAGCTGGAGCGCACTTCAGCTATGCATTCACCACTGCAAAAATGTCAAAGGAAATCGACACGCCCAGCGTGCATGGAGGCTACTTCCATTTCTACTAAACGCGGTCCAATTCATGATGTATTTGATTTTCCAACTAATAATATTTAAAAGCATTGTGAAAATATGGGAAATGGGACTTACGTGCGGCTGACCAGCTGTGTCCAAAATTTCAAAATATACCATCTCGTTGTCAATGACTGTTGAGTAGGAATAGGTTTTCTCCAGCGTGGGGTCATACTCTCCAATGAATCGTTTTGTTATGAACCTAACCACCAGTGCTGTAACATTACGAAAGGACGGAGGTAGGTATTAAGCAAGTTTCTCGAAAATATAAGTGCCAGCTGTTGGGATCATAGACATAGCAAGAGCAATTCCTCGGGGACAACTAGGTCCCGAACTATTTAAGGACAGCCTGAGTCTTCAAAAAGAAACCCTTGGATTTCTCTTATTAGGTGCATTTCAGAGCTGTCCCGATGCAAGTTTCAGCTGTGTAAAAACTCCATCAATAATCTTTAAACATTATTTCAAAACTTTTTCTTCATCTAACCATGTTTTTACCACAGCTAAGAAGTATCTCGATTTTCTACAGGAGAGGAAGTGGCAATATATGTTATTTATCTATACGTAAAAGTATATTTCTTACACGTACACTTCGAAGGCGGCGGCAGGGGGATGCGGGGGCTTTTTACAGAAGTTTTCGAAATTTTGAAGAACATACCGGGCAATATGAGTCAATTTCGTCATGAATAATAACCAAATATACGCGTTCTTCCTTCTTTTTCCTCCATTCCTTCCTTTTTTCTTTCTCCCCTTTTTCTTCCTTATCTTTTTACGACCAAAAGATGGAGGCACACACCCCCCAAGCCCCACCCCCCCCTTGACTTCTTATATGTATTACTCAAATAATTAGACTTTATGAAGTGCGAGGTATAGTTTGTTGTCTCGCCGTCTCTTTTCAAACCCTGATTCTTTGATTCAATCAATTTCCTGAACTAGAGCTTCATGTGAGCGACTTCGATGATCGTTAAAATTGCGGATGACATCTTTGTTCGAAAACGTCACGAACAATTTGTTCCGAGTTTCACTCCGAGATTCACTTTTCATTCTCCTACCTCTGTTGGGATCGCAAAATAAATGATGCCATCTGTTGCTGACAACTTGAAATTATATGAACGTGAAAAGGCAAAGAGCCGAAGGAAGCTTTAACCGAACGTACGTATTCCGCACAGTATACTGCCGTGCCAAGGAAAAACGCCGTATGAGCCTCCAGGCGTTGCCAAGTTTCCTCTGGCAAATCACTTATTTTCAGGAAATTTTTGGAATATTTTCCCGCCAATTTCTCAGATAATTTTGTTTGTAATTTGATCCATAGTGTCTGAAAATTTCAAGGAAAAATATTCATAATTTCCCTCAGAATTAAATATTTTATCCAACGAAATTTGGCAACCCTCGAATGTTCATACGGCGTTATTCCTTAACACGGCAGTATGGTGACTTACCAACTTCTGCAATGCCAAGAAGTCGTTAGTGCCTATACGGGGCATATTTCAGCAGAAGAAATAGAAGGGATGAAAGAGAAGGAGAAAAACTCCGGAACTAAACGAAGACGATTTGTCGCTCATCAATCGGAGGAAATTATTTTACGAGAGGTATATTTTTTTTAAAGGCTGAAATCAATATTTGTTTCCAACGCGCACGTTTCTGAACAAAATGAATGCCCCTTAATATTTATATTATTATGCAGCTTGATTGGACCTCAGCTTTATCTCACGTCCTTATCTTTTAAAAATCGCCAAGACACTATTTTTCATTTATATTATGTGGGTATTTTAACGTCCTGATTTTTTACTCTTTCAGTTTTATTTTATTCTTTTATCATATTTCCTCTGAAATAAATGAAGGGTAAGTACATGAAAGAGGCTTAGTGACATCATATTAAAAGAAAAAGGGAAAAAAGACCGAATTGTTTATTTATTGGAGAAAACAATTTAAGTCCAAAGTATACCATTCAAAAAATGGAATAGGAATTCTTATGACTTGGCTCAATTTTTTGGCTCACAAAAGAAAACCAAAATTTTTAGGCAATGAGACCCCACATATTTTTCTTTCAAAAACGTTTTTCCTGAGAGCACTAAAACGTTACCATGCTCATTCAACAAACTTTTAAATGCCTCTGGAATTAATCATTCTTCTTAACGAAGGCTTTTAATTTTTTGGTCACTAAAATATCTGTAAATATAACACACTCCAGCGTGAGCGGCAATATTGCAGATTATCATGATAAATCTGCCTTGCATGTCGCTTGTCAGTAACATTGAAGGCGCGACATCATCTTATCGCTTGTCGAATGCTGCGCGTAGGTTAAGTGTCGTAGCTAGAGCTCCGTGTAATTTTAGACTACACGGAAATAGCGGAAGATGAGAAGTCGTCAAAATGTATGTTTTCTTAAAAATAATCGTGGCGTCACTTAGGTACGAGAAATCACCTCGATTCCCGTAAACTTAATTTCTTTCCCATTTCCAAGGGGGCAATCAAATAAATCCTGTACCTCCCTCACTTTTTTTTGGTATATTGCTCGACGACAAGGCAAATGGAGCCCTCACACGGGTGGGAGATATTTGATTTAATCAGCTATTACTGTGTGACATCTCACGAGAAACGCGATGTTGTCACTATGATTTTTGGTTGGAGCCACTTGCAAACTGAAAAAAAAAATCTCTTAAAGTTAAGACCGTGGTAGAGGACTTGGAGCACCCTTTTCATGTAGGAGAGTCACTTTTTTAATCGGTAAAATTCTCCACGCAAAGGTCTCTCGCAAGTTTCGCCAATTCTTCGCTTGGCTGACGAAAAGGCTTAACTACACTCATTAACGTGTTTGGAAAGTTGGCAAAACTGTTTTTCCCCCTCCATCTATATCCATTGAAAATATCGATTTTAGGTGAGGCGGCTGACTAATCAAGAATCGATTGTTTTTCATGCATTTAAATGGAAGAAAAATGACAACTTTCAAGAATCGCTTCTGACTACCCTTGATGATGAGCTCGGGAAATCATTAGGTTTTACGAACGACAGGGCTCATCGCGGAGTTAAGTTACGCATTTACGTCAGGAAGCCGACGAATTGACGCGCCTGGATTTCCACTGGTTCACGCATCGCTACATGGTGCTAGTTTTAACGCTCACGGCCCCTATCAATGCTCCGAAACGCTAAAGAAAATCGCTGTATGAGCCTTCAGACGTTGCTCAAATCCCTCTGATAAAACATGAATTTTCAGGTAAATCCGTGAATATTTTTCCTTAAATTTTTTACATCATTTTATTCGCGATCAGATCTAAATTATCTGAAAATTTCGAAAGAAATTATTCGCAATTTTTCCAAAAGAAATTAAACATTTTATTTGATGCGTTTTGGCAATGCTCAAATGTTATAAAAAGTTTTTCCTCAGCACGGCAGCGCACGTTAGCTGGTGCATTTTAATGCGGAGAAGAGGGGGTGGGGGTGTAAGTGCAAAAGTACAATGATGGAGCGTGAGGAAAAAGGCAAAGAGCCTTAGTACCTGTTCAATGCAGAAATTGCACCGCACGAACCTTCAGACGTTGCCATAATCCCTCTCATAAAACATGAATTTTCGGGCAAATCTGTGAATATTTTTCCTAAAATTTTTCATATCATTTTTTTCGCCATCAGATCTAAATTATCTGAAAATTTCGAGAGAAAATATTCGTAACTTTTCAAAAAAAAAGTAAACATTATATCGGATGAATTTTGGCATGTTCATACAGCGTTTTTCCGCAGCACAGCAGCGCACGTTACCTGGTGCATTTTAGTGCAGAGAGGAGGGAGTGAAAGTACAATCACTGGAAAAAAAAACACATTGGATCTAGAGTCCAGACTATTGAAAACATTGACAAGAAAAGATACTCTTGATTCAATCAGATTTAAGCGTAAATCAAGAGAAAATCCGCTCAAATTAAGAGGCTTGGTTCTTGATTTAAGCTTAAATCTGATTGAATCAAGAGTACTTTTTCTTGTCGATGTTTTTAAAAGTCTGGACTCTAGATCCAATGTGTTTTTTTTCCAGTGAGTGATGGAGCGCGAGGAAAAAGGCAAAGAGCCTCGGTATTCAATGCAGAGATTGCACCGTACGAACTTTCAGACCTTGCCAAATTTCTTCTGATGAAACATGAATTTTCAAGTAAATCCGTGAATATTTTTCCTAAAATTTTTCATATCATTTTTCTCGCCATCGGATCTAAATTATCTGAAAATTTCGAGAGAAAATATTCGTAATTTTCCACAAAAAAAAGTGAACATTGTATCGGATGAATTTTGGCAGCGCTTGAATGTTCATACAGCGTTTTTCCGCAGCACAGCAGCGCACGTTACCTGGTGCATTTTAGTGCAGAGAGGATGGAGTGTAAGTACAATGATGGAGGTAAGGATGAGGAAAAAGGCCAAGAGCCGTGGTTTTCAATCCAGAGATTACTCCTGGGATTTACAGATTTTCCGTCCACTGCGCTGCGTTTTTTTTTTTTTTTTTTTTTTTTTTTTTTTTCCCTTTCAACTTTACTTCGTCCTCCTCTTTCAATCTCCTTTCGCTTGCAGGGTGACTAGACCGGACCGGAATAATAATTACTTGACCCTTTCACCGGTGCATTGTTGCATGACCGCGCGGGAATACATATACTGAATCGATTGTATACAGGGTATCGTAGGGGATGGATAGAAAGAATACAGGAACGAACAAACAACAAGGATTTTCTTCCTCCCGGGATTTTTCTAATGGTACTCCAGTCGGGGCAGTAAAAAAAAAGGGGGGGGGGTGTTCGCATTTCGGGCATCTTAGTTTTTTTTGATAATGCACAGTGGACCGAGTCGATAGGAGAAGTCGGACAAAATCTGGCAGCCTTGAAAGCTTATATTCTCGAAAATATGAAACAAGAAAGTTGAAAAGTGGCTACATTGGTTTTTTCATGAAATCACCTTTCAGAAACACCTATTGACATTGAATTTGTGACGAAATGAACATAAAAGTCTGAAATTTTAGTCCGTCCTCTTCTATTAGCTTGTTTCACTGCGCTACGTAGGTCGGTACGGACGATTTTTATCATGGATTTTCTTGGAAGTGGTGTAGTTTAAGGAAAAAAGTCATTCTTAACAAAGTGTTTGAAATCACATCATGAGTTGAAAAAAAAAAAAAAAATCGGATGTTATGGTCCGTTTTTCATACTTTAAATTCCGGATTTTGCTGAATATTGACGCCGTGTCATACTGACCT